GGCTCCATCCAAGATGGATGATGGGTCACAAGTTTTCACACTTCTATAAGCTTTGGTCCGTTTACACATTGGAGTTAATTGTCCAATTATAGCTTCAGGTTATGCAATCCCATCCTTCCAGTTTGCTCTCCTCAATTTGCTGTTTATACTTTTTGGACCTGAAGCTGCAATGGTGTCCTTGGTTCTCAGGCTGGGAAAGGATTGTTTTGTCTAACTAAACTGTGATGAGAGCTTGCTAACACTTTATGTAAATTTCAGAGTTATATACTAATGCAGTACAGAATCTGGAAAATGTGAAAGCTAAAACTTAAGGCATCCATTAGGTGGAGGAGATGTTGCATACTCAGCTGCCAGTGCAGAATTGGGATCCTTGGCACAGGACTTCATGGGAAGGTTCCTGGCATGACCATGAGATACTGTCTTCTCTACCCCTGGTTCTGTGGCACTCACCATATGCATCACTCACAAGGAAATGAGGCTGTGTGAAGAGAAATACAGCATCCCTGTTAGTATCCTGCTACTATTAAAATGATGGGAGCAGCCAGATGAGTGCCTTCAATCTCTTTGCAGTAGTTTCAGGCACTGTCAGGAAGGTCACAGAGGAAATTCTCCATTAGACACATGGTCTTCTTTCCCTTCCCCTGAAAAAGAAAGGATTTTATTAATGAAGTTATAATTTCCTTTTATTTAACTACATCAATGAATGGGTGAGATTATAGAATACCCTTATTTTTCTAAATTATGTAATTAGGGCACAAGTGGACATGGGTGTTCAGTGGTCCAGCAAGGAAAAAGGTAAAGCTGTTGAGAGGACTACAAGCTGATGCTGGGGATAGACTCAGCTGTGCTGCCTTAAGCTGTCTCACAGTCTTCTAGATGGTATTTTCATCTAACTTTTTGCCAAAACCACTATTTTTAACACTATACTGCAGTACTGCAGGACTTGAGGATCTCTCAGACCTTGCAGACCAGAAGCTCTGCACAGATACTTTGGGAACTGCTGCTAGGGATATTTCTCTGATTTACACCATGAGTCACTAGCCAAAGCTGGGTTTAACTTGTCTCAGCCAAGAAAAAGCCCCAGACAAGGTTTGGGAGTTGGATTCTGCCTTTTCACACATGATGTTTATGTGATTGAATTTTGAAGCTTGCACTGTTGTGAATCAGGTTTTCTGGGTGCTTGTGTTTGTACATGCAGTCAGACTGTAATGCTGGTGGGTCTGTTTTTAACCACTTTTCTAATTGCTAATTGGTATGAACTGTAACATGAATCACCTTGATTGAGATAAAATTTTGGAAAACAAAAAGAAGCTTAACTATGTCCATCTGTACCAGGTTGGTGGGGCTGCTGGTTCAGGGAGATTTGGGGCTTTTCTTACCCTAGTCTTCACTGAAATCAGGGCAGAGACTGTTGTTTTATTTAAAGCTTACAGCTTGCAGCTTTTGTGTATGTTTTGAAAGGAAAAACTGGCAGTAACATCACTCTTGTGTTTGCTGTGGTGGTAGACAATCCCACTGGATTAGGGACTGTCCTTCCTTAGGTCCTGACACAAAGAGACTAGCTGTGCCTTAGGGCTGGCCATGAAAAGGCCATGTCCTGGTGAACCCCAATGTTTGTGTCAGCCCCCAGGAGTGGGGACCATACACACCTCTAGGGTCATGGCCTTATTTCTATTGACATTCACCCCAAAAAAGATTTTTCAATACTGATTCTGGGGATTTGCTAGTCCATGCTGCTCTCAGAGGACAGAAACTTCAAGACTGTTTGTAGGGGATGAGCAAGAGGAACCTGTTCTCTGCTTCCCTTGAGCTCTCCAGAAGGTCCTTCTGACTGTCCCCACCGTCCCCATGGTTCCCCTTTCCAGATGGCACTGACAGCAAGGACATGGATGGAGTAGATGTTTGTGGCTTTGGGAGGGCCAGGAAGGGATCATCACTTAGGAGCCTTCCTTGCCCCACATCACCCCCTTTGCCCCAAATAATGTTTTTTCCTTTGCTTTCCATTGTTACCACACAAACCATAGCTGCCTTATGCCATTGGGCATCACTAGCAGTGGCCAACCCATACAGCATGGCTTGAGGGTTGAGAGGGACTTCATTTCACTCCTTTTGCAATAAAAGACATTTTCCCAGTGCTTTTCCTTGCCTTCTTCCTTGGGTGCAAGTGCCATCCACACACTTGGGTGATGATCACATGGGGTATGAAGCTGGCACTGCTGAAAACCTTTGAGCAGGTGACAGAGCACTCACAGCTGTGTGGGAGATCCTCAGTGATACAGAGGTCCTTGTAGGAACTGGTGCTTTGGGTTTGAGTTTTGTTTACCCCCTCACAAAACCTGGTATAGTGTGTAGAAAACATGTCTGAGGCTCGCCATGGACATGGGGACAGTGAGTGGGGTCAGCTCCTTGCTGGGCCTTAGCTACATGGTAGTGCTTGAAAACACATCTACAGCTGTGCATTGCAGAGGGAGGTGTGTTAGTGACAAAATCCAACCCCCAGAGAGCTACAGCAGAAGCCAAATTTATTGCAAACTGGATTTCAAGGAGGTGCCCATGGGTGATAGTAGAGCAGTGGCTGCTGGCCCAGGAGACCCAAGCTGTGAGTGTGTCCACGCCTGCCTGAAATCACAACTTTAATTAAAAGTAAGAAAAAGCCAACAAGCAGGCAGAGCCCGAGGCTGGAGGTGACTGTGGTGAAAGGACAGACTAAGCAGCAGAGTTCCTTTGGGCACATGGGCAGGCTGGTAGCCTCAGGAAAAAGTACAGCCTTCTCAGTCTGGGCAGGAGCTGCCAGCCTGCAGATCCCTTATGCCAGGAGAGCCATGAAGCTGACACAAAATCCCAGAGGCCAAGTAGAGAAAAACAGATTTTTATTTATTTGGATTTTTCATTTTGCCTGTAGGGCTGGGTGTTTTTTAGCTCAGCAGTCATCAAAGAGGACAGTAAACCTCCCCTGCCAAAAAACAGGCAGCCTGTGGTGAGCCAGGTTCTGTAGGAGAGTCTCATGTCACAAACACCTCCAGTAAAGAGCTTGTTCACAGCACTGGGAGTGAAAAAAAAAAATCAAGCAGGACTGAAGCTTAGCAAGGCAAACAAGATGTCCCTCCAACAGCACACAGCCCCTTGTGTGGCAGGAGGGTATGGAGAGGTGGCTGTGCTGCCACCTGCTCAGGATGCCTCCAGCATCCACCTGTCCCCTATGGCTTCCTGTGGCTCAGCTGGGCAGGAAGGAAAGGCACTGAGGGACAGATTAGAAAGGGATGGGGGAGACATTTTTGTAGTCATGAGACCAGGCATCTCATGTCACCCCCAGAGTCTGCAGGAAGTCTCAGTGTTGCCTGTTTTTTTTCCCCATCAGCCTGTGGTGCAGGTGGGTGGCAGAGGTGTGTGTGCATGCAGAGCACATTGACCGCAGGGGCAGAAGGTGATGGAGTCTGGCTCTTACCTCTCAGCACTGTGGGCATGAGCTTTGCAGAAAACCTTTTTTTAATGCAGAAACAACAGCCAGAGGAATTTTGCAGGGCTGCCCTGGGACTCTCTGGTTCCCCCAAGACCAGATGTGGGGGACCATTTGGGACTTCGAAGCAGCAACTGGAGAAATGCTTTCTCAGCCTTGGGGGAGATGCTTCCTTGGAAACTACTATCCTGGTATGGGAGAAAGCCTGTGGTAAGGATTCTGTGGTGTCCTGTTAACCCCGAACACAACTGCCAGACTGAACATTGTTTTTCTGCTTCAAATTCCTGCATTAAGGCTGGTTTTCCCTCACCACTGCCACGCCAATGATAGCATTACTGTGATTCCAGCTGCTTTCAGGGGCATCTAAAAAATATTCTGACTCATCCCGTTTGGCACTGCTGTTGTGTCCATACAGGGTCCTCGTGACACAATGGATGTACTGACAGGTAACAGGTTTAAGCCAGTTTTGGGTCTGCTTCATCTAGGCACCAAACAAGCTCTTGACTGAGGACAATGTTCCTCACACCTGTTTTGTTTACTTTTTGTATGGAGCAGCCCTGGGTCAAACCCCTAAAAAAAAGGAGCTTTCTCTTGCCCTGGGGCCAAACACAGCTTTACCTCCCAGGTGCTCACTGGAAGTGGTACTGGAGCCAGCAAAGTGATCCGTCTCTCACTTTGGGAAGGCACACTGCAGCCCAGAGACCCTTGGACTCTCTTAAACTGCTCAGTCATGTCAATCCAAAATTTCTTTTTGCTTAAAAACAGCAGGAAACATTGGACAGAGTGGAGAGTGTTTCACAGCCAGCCTGTTTACCCCAAGCATTCAGGAGCTGCTGAGACACCTTCATTCTGGAGAGGTCACCTCTATGGGCAGAATGATACAGAAGGATCCACCTATCATGGACAAGGATCTCCATTAACACAGGATGGGAAAACATTCTCAGTGGGCAAATTGAGGCAGCCTGCTACTCAGGCTGGTTTGTTAATTGTCTGAATTCTCTGAGGAGACCAAGTTCTGTCCTGGCACCTGAGAGATTACATTTGTCCTGAACATGGTCCTAAAACATGCATGGATCCTACTAAGTATAAACCCCTGCATGACTTGGTCCTAGGATTTCATCTTGACTGCCATGAGATATCACCACACTGTATTGGCTTACATGAGTGCATACCATGGACATGGTTCTCAGTAATTTATAAAAGGGGGAGAACAGGTGCCACAGCACTAGAAAGTGCTGTAGCTTTCTTGCTGCTCAGGTAGCTCAGGCCGTGGGAAATGCAAACTCCTAAGTCCTGCATCAGCTCCCATCTCATATGCAGGCTGCAAATTGGTTTTCTTCCTCTTTAGGATAATCATAGAGTGCTTTCTATAAAAAAAAACAAAAACAAAACTTTGCTGCAGCTGCCTCCTTCATTAAGCACATGAAATTTTCAATGTCCCAGGGGATCATCTGTGAAACTGGTTAACAAAGGAGACCATGTAATTGCCTTTAGAGAGAAGAAACATGCATTTGGTGGGAAAAAATTATGAGCAGAGACTGTGTTTCTGTACACTACATTTATCACAATGCAGTAACAAAGAACACCCATCCAATACATTTTAATAAGTTATTGTAGAACAATTGCCACACAGAACAGAGGTCTCAGTGTCTCCTTCAAACTTCAAACTCAAATATTGCTACATTAAAAACTATTAGAATTCCCAGGTCATTAAAGCCACTAATCACTGAGTCCATTGCACAGCTGAAGAGGACCCTGTTAGGAAACCCAGAGGAAATAGGCAACTTCATCCAGGTCAACAGGGTAGTCGGTGAGCAGCACCGGGGTCTTCTCAAACAGCTCTCCCTTGTAGCTGCGCCACTTGCCCGCTGGCAGGTAGACATCCCGCTCCTGCTTGCCCATCTCCAGCACAGGAGCCACCATCAGGGTGTCCCCAATGAGGAACTGGGAGTCGATCCGGTGAGTGGCTTCGTCGCGGGGCGAGATCCACCAGATGGGACGGATGATGGGGTCGCCCGTGTCGGTCGCCTCCCCTGCCAGCTCCAGCAGCAGCGGAGCCACCAGGGACTCGTGGAGCTGCGTGAACTTCTGCGCGATCTCCACCACCTCCTTGTCGTAGAGCCAGGGTGGGATGGAGAACTGCATGGAGGGCATGAAGGCTGACAGCTCCAGCCAGCGCACGTACAGCTCCCGGTTGGGGATCTCCACCGCCCCCTCCGTCTTGTTGGGGAGGAAGTTTCCTCCAATCATATCTGGCAGTACAAATGGGTACCCCAGCATGCTGATGGTGAGGACAGTGGGGATGAGGGACTTGAGGCCAAGCTCGTAGCCCCAGACAGAGTCACGGTCAATGATGCGGAAGAAGCAGGAGATGTTCTGTGACTGGTAGCCCACCCGCACCTCGGCCAGCTCGTAGAAGGGGATGGCCATCTCCGTGTAGCGCCGGGACCAGATGCTGGGGTCCGACAGCGGGCGGAAGGTGCTGAACTGCTTGGGCAGGTAGCTGGTCTCGCCCGCGTCAAACTTAAAGGAGGAGATGCCATACTTGTGCCGGAGCTGGCGCAGGTGGCTCTGGAACCAGTCACGGGCTGCTGGGTTGGTGAAGTCCAGGATGGCCCCGATGCCGTTCCACCACTCCACCATGGCTGGCAGCCGCCCTGACGGCTCCTTGATGAACAGCTGACGCTCAATCCCCACACCAAAATTGGAGGAATTGTAGTTTATGAAAGGGTGAGTCCACAGAGTGACCTTAAACCCATCTTCCCTCAGCTTTGCAAACATCTCTGTTACATTGGGGAACTTGACAGGGTCAAAGTCAAAGTCCCCATAGGCTTGGGTGTACATGTCATCAATCTCAATGTGGCTGCAGTTAAAATGGTATTTCTTGATCTTTTCAGCAAACCGCAGGAGTTTATCTTGGTCGATATCATTCTTGTAGAGGGCCCAGGTGGACCATATGGGGTATCGGAAGGCGTTCTCAGCAGGGATCTTGGAGGGCTTGTTGAAGTATCTGCGCACCATGTACTTGTGGATGGAGGTGATGTCGGAACCCACGCAGACACGGTAGCTGAGCTCGGGGAAGGGCTGCTGGCCTGGCGGGGGCTTGTAGGGCGAGTCCTTGTAGCGGGCCTGGAAGAAGAGAGCACGCTCGGTGGCATTGAAGCCCAAGTGGAAGGGCACGGAGTCGTTGATCTTGATGGCCGCCGCCTTGGAGGAGAGCCAGTAGCGCTCGAGGATGCCGCCAAAGCTGTCGCGGAAGGAGTAGACGTCACTGGTCACGTAGGGCACGGGCTCCTGGTAGCCGGCCAGGCGGATGGGCCAGTGCTGGATGCTCATCTCTGAGCCCCCGTACCAGTGGGCGTCCTCCCAGAACATGGTGTGCTCCACGGCCGGGCCGGCCGCCAGCTCCTCCCAGCGCACACGGTAGCACATCACCGTGTCCTTGGGCTTCACCGTCTGGATGAAGAAGTTGAGCGGCCCCTGGCTCGAGCGCGAGCAGCTCAGGATCTCGCCCTCCTTGGAGCACGACTCCAGGTCCAGGTTGCCCGAGCGGAAGGCCAGCCGGAACACCACCTCCCCGTGCTGGTTGCGGATGATGAAGCCGTCCGCCCGCAGGTCCATCAGCTCCGTTTTGAGCCGCTCTGCCTTCCTCAGGGACACCGTGTAGTAGCACCAGGCCACCACAGCAGCAATGAACAGGATGAGGCCCAGCAAGATGGTGCCCAACATTGGCCTCAGCTCCTTGGAGGGCTTCACTGGTGTTACATTTTCAGTCAAGTGCCCTTCTTTGGCATCGTCCTTTAAGTTTCCATGTTTTCCTGAGCGGTGAGTAAGCTGAGTGTCCATTATCCCTTTGCAGCCTCAACACCTGGTTAGCAACTTTGCTGCTCAATTCTTTTACTCCAACTGGTGAATAGAAAATCCAAGCTGCTACATGAAGCTTTGTCACAATGTCCTTTCCAAAGCTTGGCTTCTCACACCTATAATGGTTTTTCATAAAACAGAGGGTTATGAACACCAAAAAAACCCAAATAAAATCTGCTCAGGGCCGCTGCTCCTCTGCTGTGTCTGCAACCCAGCCTCTCTGCCCTCTACCTCTGGCTTACTTCTCTCTGCAGTGACAGCCTGCTCACTGGCAGCTGTGTTGAACTTTTTTGGAGCATGTCTGTGCCAGGATTCCTGTGACTCTCTCTTGGCTGCAGCCTCACTTTGTCCCAGAGAACAAGGATGAAGGAATGAAAGTCAGCCTAGAGCCTGGAGGAGAATGGGGCCAGGGGAAAGGGCTGGTGCCTGAGCATACAAGCTGGACATCACAGGCTGATCTGTGTTTCCATTAATTATGAGCCCTGCTGGATTTCCTCTCCTGCCCACAACCTTCCTGCATTAAACACAGGCAGAGAAATGCTGTGCTGAAGTCTTCAGCCTCCACCTGCTGCTCCCCACCACACTCCCAGGGACGTGAGCTGCTGAAAGATGTTTTATCTCCCTGCACTTTGCTCCTTCCCTGAAATGCATGGGGATGTCGGGGTGTGGGAATGTGTTTCTCTTTCCCTTCAACTGCCTGCCCTGCTACCTATTCCAAAGCCATCGCCCCAGCACAGCCTCTGGCCCTTGCAGGAGGAAAAGGGAATTTTCCACTACATTTCTGTCTTTGTTTTTTAATTATCATTCAGTTCTCCTAATTTATTGCAACTCAGTAGCTCCTGGGCTTATGCCAGGCAAGATGTGCAGTGTGGCTGGAAGATATTTTGGTACAGAGTATGAGGATAGGTGTATTAAATTGAAATTGTTGCAAGACCGGGACTACATCAAAGCCTTGTTTTGCTGAGAAATGCACAGAAGGTGATGTGTTCCAGCTGCATCAGGCATCACTAAGCCAGCTAATGCAGCACAGCTGAGTATCTACTGCCAACAAAAACACAGGCAGGAGAAACTGAGGCTAGTAGCTCAAGGCAATGCATTCTGTGCAACCGGGTTTGTGGCTCCCATGGCCCCTTCCTGGGGTCTGTGTAATCTGACAGGATGAAAACTTGCAGGAACAGCCTATATGGAGAGAGGGAAAAGGAGCCAGTTTGCTCATCTGATCTGTGCCCAGCAATAGATGGCTGGGTGTATTTACTCATGTCACTATGACATCGGTACCTAAATATACAGAGATGATAAGCCACCCAGGGAGCCATTAAAAATGCCAGAGGTCACCACATTTTGGATCGATCACAGCAGATCTCAAGACACTCATATTAACTGCCTGGTTAGTTTTTGAAGTGCATTCTTGGGATGAGTGAGACTTAGCCGAGAAAAAGAGCTGGAGTGGATAAAAATGTTCTCAGGCAAGCACTGGCCAGGGAAGGAGGGTAAGAAAAAGAAGGTTATTGCTGCCCCAAAGAGATGGTGATCCAGGACATGGGTGGTTTTGGGGAGTAGGTTGGATTACATTTGCTTGGGGCACTCTGCCAGCCCCTAAGTGCTCAGACCTGGCAGCCTCCCAGTGCTGGCCTGGCTCCTGACATGGCTTTGCAGCTCCAGCCCGGGTGGTTTCCAGTGAAACCCTTGTGTTTTTGCAAAACAACATTTTCACTTTGAAGGTGTTATTGTGTGCTGGGTCAGTCCTCAGCTGCTGACTTCGGAGCTTTCTTCCTCTTCTTCCTTCCTCCTTTCACCATCCCAGCCAGCCTGGAGACAGGCTTTTCTCTTTCCTTTAAGACAAGTTGCACCATTTTCCAGAGTGAATAAAAAAAGAAATGGAAAGAAGAGATTTTCTTCTCTTTTTTTTTTTTTTTGTCTGTCTTTTTTCCTTTTTTTTTTTTTTTTTTTTTTTTTTTTTTTTTTTTAGCAACTCATTAAAATCCCCAAAACACGTGGACATCATGACTCAGAAATCTGTCCAAGAATAAAGGATGTGAGGGAAGTTTGCAAGCTTTCTATGCAGTGATTTCACTCCCAGAGAGTGGCTTTAGATCCCTTGATTTCCCCAGGAGCAGAAGATCAGGGGCAAAAAAATCATATACAATCGAGCCAGAGCTCCTGAGCCAAGCTGTCCTGTCCCCAGGGTTTTTTGGGTTTTCCTCACTCCTATGATGTTGTGGGATGGCATCTTGGTACCCCAGCCCTTCCCCTCACAGAGAAGAGGTGAGATGTGAGTGGTCAGTGGGGACAGTAGGCACTGGCCCTTCTCAAGGCAGCACAGGATGAAACTGGGATTCCTATCATAGATTCCACCAGGGTAAAAGAGTTTCTGAATCTGCATTCCCATGCTTTAAGACTCATGTCTCCAGAAAGCATTAAATGTCTGCTGGCCTAGCTGTCAGCCTGAGTAATGCCCAGGGATGATGACAAGGACTTTTGCTCAGGGGTGCACAGGGGTGACCCAGGGCCCAGATCCAGCTCTATCTTTGCTCCATCCATGGGGTTATGGCATCGCAGAGACCCTTCCTTACCTGTGAATATTTAACTGGGCCGTGGAAAGCCTCTCTGCGCTGGTGAGTGCTTTATGAACCCACCCAGAGTGCAAGTGGTCTCAAGCCAGGCTGGGCTGAAATATCCCACAGTCCCCTGAAAGCCAGATGTCCTCTGGATGCCAGCACTGGTGTGATATATTTGGGCTGCTTTATCAGGTGCTATCGGGTATGGATCAGGGCCTGTCTGTCCCCCAGGATGAAAGAAGCCAGGATTCCTCACTCCAAGGATCTTAGCAGCATTTAGCATGCACAGATTAAACATTGACATAACTGTGATAAGCTGAAAATGAGCCAGGACTTTAGACCCTTTTATAGCTAAACAGGAGCTTCAAGGGTTTCAAGTGACAAAACACAAATCAGCCAGCTCAAAGGGCAGCTACACAACTAAACCCCTTAGTGCATCTACCCTAAGAGTCTCCTTCCCTCAGACCAAATTTATCCCCAGAACCTCCCCTGCTCTCTTGTCACATGTGTCACACCTCATGTCTTGTCAGGCCTGTATTCAGGTTACAGCTTTGTGATTCCTGAATCCTCAGATTTTTGGCATTCTAAGACTCTGAGGGTGCCTCAGTTGCTGCTAAGAGCACCAATGTCATATATGGGCCATTCACTTAAGAATTGGCCTAAAGTATGATCCCTGTAGGTCCCCTTCAACTCAGAATATTCTGTGATTCTGCATATGTTATCTTCCTAGTAGTTCAGGGACAGCATCACTCTTTAAAGAACCCATTAGGAAAAAATTCTTCCTTTAAACAGAAGGACAGTTTTGTACATTGAAGTTCCTTTTACAGGTTATCAAGCAGTCACTATCAGCTGCTTTTAGGGAGATTATACAACATGTCCTAGCAGACAGAGCCATAAGTAGCTAAACATAATAAGCCATAAACAAACTACTGCCCTGTCAAATGCTGCAGGAACAGATTAATCATTTACCAAACCCTTTTAGACTGTTTTAAATGGACTTTTTTAGCATAAAAGTCACGCAAAGTAGAAATCAGTTCCCATTAGTTCTCATTTCCCACAGCAGGTTGACAAATATGGGTGATGTATGGAGGATTTATTGACAATAAAGGGACTCAGGGGAGGTTTGCTCACCATTTTTTTTCTGTGCATATAGATGGTGTGAGAAAAGAGGTATCTGTTGCCTCTGCAGCTGAGGAGGGAGAGCCAAGGTTATGAGCTGTCACAGATTAGCCACAAGCCCAACAAGGCTTAACACAAGGTGGAAGTGGCTGGGGGGGTGGCTGCAGAGGGTGACATTGCTCTGCAGTCCATGTGGTGCAGATAGGGACAACAAAATCTCTGCCAGCAGCACACAGCACTTACAGAACACCTGCAGCAGCATGAGGAGGTGGAGAGAAAGGACACAGTCAGCGTCTGTCCCTCAGAGTGGTGCAGGGTCCTGCTCCATCTGGAAATGCACTCATTTGTGTCCTGAAGCAGGGAGGATACCAGTCCTAATGCTGAATGCACACATCACCCCAGGTCTGGGATTTAGAAATACCTGATAGCTCCAGTGATGGAGGGGGATGATTGGCCTCACTGCTTCAGCCCTTGGCCCATGGGGATCCCACCCAACTCCTTGGACTGGAGCAGCAGTTTGGTTCATATTAACCCCATGCCAGCTGCAGAGTTGGACCAGCTGCAAGGCCTGTGGCTGTATCCTGTACATGGAGAGACCTTCACCAGCTTACACAACCAGACAACTTAGAGCAGGCATTTTTTCTGGAAACTATCCTGATTTGGGGGACTCTGCCCTGTTCCTGATACCTGGAGGAGTTTTGTCTTACCTCATCATGAAGGTGGCTGCACAGCCATTGCTGGTTTCTGCCTGTACAGAGTGCTGCTGCAAATCTGATTACCCTGGGTAAGCCTGACAGTGTCATAAGCCCCCTGGAGCCTTGCAAAGCCAGCTCAGGTCTAGAGCAGTAATATTACCTGAGGTTTTTCCTAATCCAGAGTATTCCAGTCCCTCAATACCGGGAAAAAAGGTAGAGTTTACTGCACAGGTCTTTCATTCCTAATTGCTATAGGAGCAGGAACTGGAAGATCCACTCCTGTCTTCTTGTTCAAACTCCTCTTCCAAAGCCAGCAGAAAAAAAGCCTTGCAAAATCAATTTTTTTCCCTGTTTCGGATCTCTCTCTGACTCCTAAAGATATACAGTGTCCATGTTCCGAGCCGCCAGTAGTGGCCACAGCATCCCACTGCAGTCTGGTAGCTGCTCTGCCCAAATCCTTGGGCAGGAGCTCCATCTGCCGAGCCAGTGGCCCGGGCTGAAACTCAGGGACCATTGCCAGACTTGTCCCAAGGCTGTGGGGTCATCAGGCATCCCCTGGGTAGCACCGAGCTCATCAGACCCTGTTTACCAAGATCAGTGCTCGTGAGAAGCTTCAGGGGGACTTTGAGATAACTTCCCCTCAAAAAAACCAAACAAGGAGGGATAAGCAAAGCAAAGGTGATGGGGAAAAAAGGTCATTGTGTGTCACAGCTGCAACTATGTAAGCAGTCTAGGGGACTGTGGAAATAGAGGAAAACAGGGCGGGGGAAGGAGTGCTGTCATCTCAGTCTGCTTTGAATGAAGTCAGATGGCTGAGCTCATGCCAGGTGAAGGAATGAGCCAGGTAGTCACCTGGGTCTCTGTTGGGCTTTCTCCCACTTAGACCTGGGCACAGCTAGCAGCTCCTCTTAGAGATGAAGCTCCTGGGAGCTGCCTGCAATAGCAAAGAGATGATGAAATTCAATTCTTGAAGGGGAACCGCTCTTGCTTGCTATTTTCTTGTGACAATGAGTCAGACCTACCGTGAGGGCAGGACCAGGTGGGTTCTTGAGGGATGCTTCAGGCTCTGCATGGGTTAAGCCAGCTGCCTGCCAGGATGAGGGGTCCTGTGCAATGCACTTCATGGCTGTACCTGTGGGACTTCTTGTGGCACCTAGCACCCACAATGGGAGATGAGGCTCTCAGACAGGCTGAGTGCATCTGCTCTGGGCTCTCCAGATACCCAGTCTGCTGCTCACATGGGAGCAGGTCTGCAAGGACTCATCTAAACCTAGGCATCTCTGGTGCTGTTGCTTTATCCAGCCACGGGAGCATTTTGGTATGTAAAAATTTATTTTTCCTTCTGCATCCCTTCTTGGAGATACAGGATCTTTAATGTTGTTATTTTTCTAAATATCTGATGCCATTTGATCTCTGTGATCAAAAGTTCCAATCCAGAGAAAACCTGCCAAAGTCCAGAGAGCTGAAAAGAAAGCCAATGAGCATTTCCACCTTGCCCAAGGTATGTTACCTTTGAAAATATGAGTATTTCACCTCTAAAATACTGAACAAACTCCTCAGAACACCAGCCCTCCTCACTGGGATAACAGTAAGGGTAAATTGGAAGAATTTTGAGCTCAGATTTTAAGCCTCTTCCTGACGTCTCCAGTGTCACAAAGCCCTGTGCTGGCAACAAGGCTGGGGTGAAAGTGTAACAGGCTGTGCTGACCCTGAGCATCCCACAAGTTTAGGGCTAGCAAAATATTTGTCTTCACTACCTCTGCTAGCTGTTGTGTGCTGGAAAGCAGTGCCTGTCCCACACCAGACAGGGCAGCAGTTGGTGTGTGGTAAGTGACCCCTGTGTGTGAAGGTGTGGTGGCCAGCACCACACCAAAATCTGGAGATGAAGTTTCACTTGATCATTACTTCACTCTGATTAAATTCACCATGAGCTGCAACATGATGAGAAAAAGCAATGCACCCATCAAACTGATGATGGAGACAAGAACAAGGCTGCTCCATGGGACTTGGGCTGTCAAGGACTAACTGATGTGGAAATTATGTGACAGAGGGTCAGCAATTACAGGACTCTCCTGCTCTACATGGGAGAGGCCACAGCTGGAAAATAGCTTGCTCTTTCCTAGGGACATCCCAGGAAAAGCTGTGAAAACAATTTGAAGAAAGCCTCTGTATGCATGAGGCTACACTATTCCCTGAGAAAGCCAGTGCAGTGGGGAAGAATGGGCTCTAAGGCTACAGAACAATTTTATATGCAAGTACTTTCTTGCACATATAAGAAAACAGGCCAAAGTGGTGCCCTGAAACCCTAAAAATATCAGTGTTCAGCTGATTATTTTCTAGTCTGTGCTGACAGGTTGCTTTTAGACTGATCAGTTTTCTCCAGGGCTTAAATATGGCATTGGTTTCTGGTGTGGGCTCTCCTCAGTCTGGTGTCAAGGAGATGCAATGAAGAGTGTTTGCATTTTCAGTCCCAGTCAAGTAGCAGAGAATTTAACATCTGCATTTTTTAAAATTAAAAATGGCTGCAATTTACTACAAATTGACCTGTTTCCATAGAGGGGCGGAGAGGGGGGAAACCACAGTAATCACAAATAAACTAGCTGGTACTTTTCTTACGCACAGTGCTACAGTCAGGCAAGACCAACCTCAGCAGGGCAAGAATTTACCCCAACCTTCCCCTTTGTTTGGTTGTAGAATATCCTTTACTATATCTCATTTGAAGCCAGGTTACTCCTGTGATAGTGGGAAAGCTGGGAGCCATCATCCGGCTGCACAAAGTGGGAGCTGCACCATTGCAAAGCCCTGACCTGAGACCATGCCCTTGCATGGATCCCAGGACTGCAACGTTTTTATTTGACAGCTTGGCCACTAAAGGAAGCCACTCCCAACCCTCCAGCTGACTCCTGGTCTCATGGGCAAAGCTGGGAGTTGTGACATTGGTGCAGTTCAGGATTGGACCCCAAAAGTGAAAGTGAAGCCACAATTTTTTAAGTGTTTTTGTGCAAAAGGTTTAATGGTTTATTAAAGTGAGAATGACCTCAGCAAGCATATGAGACAGACAAGAGCTGAGAGGATGTGGCTGAACATCTTGCTAGCAAAATGGAAACTCTCACTTGCCCTGGTGCTGTTTACCTGTCAGGCTTTGCTACTTTTCCTTTGTGAGGGACGTGAGGTTTCCTCCCCATGCAGAGCCCAAAGTGATGCATGAAAAGCCAAATTCAACCCAAGCAGTCCTCAGGGTGATGATCAGGGTAAACCCACAGCAGGAGCCTGCTCCCCCATCCAGGAGCTCAACTCCTCCCTTCCAATCACTCTCTGGCTCTAGGACAACCACAGCTGGTTTGTGAGCCTTTATCTCTGCCATGAGCTGTAACACTGCCTAAAATCCTCTTGGCAGGAATAATTCCCTCTAAAGAGAAAACGACATTGTGCAGGGTTTCAGCAGACACATCCCAAGCTCTTCTGAGGACTCCTGCTGAACTTGCTTTTTTTTTTTGCCAGGCCAGCCCTGCACCTCCTTCTGCTCCCAGCCCTGGCAAAGGCAGCGGGCCAACCTGCTTAGCATGCATCTGTCATTGCTGGGAGCAACCACTGCTGCCAAGCAGCCAAGCCCAGCGGCCACGAGCATCTCGGTCCAGCATCCCCCCCATCCTGGCTTGTCATATGATTTCTCCTAAGGGACAACTGCTGAGCAGGACTCTGACTCCAAGCTGATCCTTTGCTGATAAGCCAGCTGCCAAGCCTCCACTGCTGAGACAAAAGAAAGAGTTTTTCTCTTCCCAGCAGGGTTTTTCTGCTGTGAATGACAGAGAAAGGGGTAAAAGTGAGCTGCCTGGCACTCCTCGTGGGCAAGAGGCTTTGGGGGCTCCTTGTCACCCACTGTACTGGCAGATCATGGAGCTTTTCAGGCTGAGCTTGGGATGCATTTACCTCCTTCCTTGGCTTGAGGGTAAGTTTCTCCTCCTTTGGGGTAGCTGTAAAGTGGGAAGAGAACTGTCTCCTGGGTTTTAACCTGCTTTCCTGCTGAACTGTTTCTTGGGCTGCAAAGCTCAAGAACACACCAGCTGTAAAACACGTGCCAACAGGCACATTTCAGGGCAGCATTTAAAATGGGATTAAACAAAGGGGTACAGAAGAGTGAGGAAGAGTGAGGGACAGGCTGGCAAGGTGCTGGGATTGTTGGGCCAGGGACACTGTGGCATCATGCTGGCAGCTTTTATAAAGTGTTTTTAAGCTGCTGTGAGTAGCGGATGAATAAACCTTCTCAGGGAGGGAGGCAGGCAAAGTGACCTCCTAAGCACTAATGTTCCTCCCAGTCTCAGCTGCTCCTTCCCAACAGAAGTGAGTGAGCTCAGAGCATGCTAGCAGCATGGGGAGTGTAGAAGTATTAGTTCTGCTCCTGTGGTAGTTGGCTGGGAGTGGGATATGCTAGGAAGCTGCAGAGTATGCCCTGCTCACCTCCATAGAGCAAACTTGGTAGCAGTCATGTTGACATTCAGCTGCTTTCTTAGGTTGCTCCAATCCTGTGTCCTGCCCATGCACAGGAATATTTTGAATCCAAGCAGCCCTGTTTTTGACATGCATGGATAGATACAAAAAGCAGAAGTCCCTGCTGAGCATCATCCCAGAGATCTGGAACAGTGCTACCCAGGAACAGTTTCCCAAAACCACTAGGAGTGGTGCTACCATGGTCTCACCAATCTCATAATTGACATCAGGATAAACAATTTTCTTTAAAAATGGGAAAAGTCCTTGAGCTAATAAGCTTTTTTATTTTGCTGCTATGACTGAGATGTCAGGTAGAAAGATTGATATAAATCACTGAAGTTCTTCAAGGCTCCTTCAGTCCCTGAAGCAGCAAGAACAGTCCTGCAGTTTTACAGGTTACATGCCCAGAGCTGTTCAAAATCCCTCAAACAGAGGACCACCGCTATTTGGGCTGCTCAGCTCAGACATTTATTCCTTGAAGACAAACCTCAGACTGGCACCTCTGACCAGCTACTTTCCATTCTTTGCTAAACAAGCAAGTGTTCCTTGGGATGCTTTGAGAAATTACCCCTCAATTTGCTCTGCAGCTGGGTAGCAGGAGAGTTTTGTGCTCCTACAGGTTTGACTTCTGCTTCATCTACTGCTGTTTTCTGCATATCAAAAGTTGCCAACTAAAGTGAACTGAATCTCTCACTTTGTAAAGCCCCAGGCTGAGGCTATGTCCCCGTAGTGGTAAGGGGTGATGATGCATAAGCATCTTTTAAAAATTAGAGGAAATTTGGTTAGAACTTGGAGATGACACCATGATGGCATGCAAAGAGAGCAGAACAGCCTTCAGGGTGTTGCTGTTCCTCTGCCTCTAAGATAGGGTCTTTTCAGTTGTCAGAATAAAGTGGTTTTTTACTGATGCCATACAAAGCAATCCACATGTTTTTGTTTTATTAGTAAAGTATGGAGGAACACGGGGTATTTAATTTCCTTTCTAGTGTAATGCTTTTGGTGCAAACACGATCAGCCACTGCATTTCAGCCAGACGAGTTATAAAACAATAAAACCACCACTGTTTTGCAGAAAGAAATTAATCTTCCCAATGCCTGGCAATGACCGAAGAAGCTCAAAGAACAGAGCACAAACATGTTCATGCTTGGGGCTGATCTCCCCCTGCACCAGCTTTTCCCCATCCCCTCCTGCCTGGAGCTGCTGAGTTTTAAGGCTGCTGGCAGGACAGAGACACTAGTTCTCAACAGACCTCTGAGGGGTTGGTTTCCTGCTGAAAATTGGAAATCCTGGAATGTCCTAAGCTGGTTCTGACAGTTGTTTCTTTGGAAAGTACCTGCAAGCAGAGAAGAGGCAAAAATAAGTTAGATGTCAGAAAAAAAAATCTTCACTGAAAGAGTGATTGGGCAGTGGAACGGGCTGCCCAGGAAAGTCGTGGACTGACCATCCCTGGAGATGTTTACAAAAAGACTGGGTGTGGCACTCAGTGCTATGGTTTAGTTAATGAAGAGGCATTAGGTTAGGTCACAGGTTGGACTTGATCTCAAAGGTCTTTTCCAGCCTAATTCACTCTGTGATTCTGTAAAAAGTTTTGTTAAAAAGCCAGACCTAGTGGTGACCCCATGAGGTGCAATGGGCAGTGGGAAGTCAGGCACCAGCAGGATCTGTGCCTACATGTACAGAAACAAAACTGCTGAAATACAACTGTATTTAACACTGACTCTGGACCCCCATGCACTGGATGTGAAGCCTTGGTGACTGTTTGGCATCTTGGCCTGATCCCATATCTTGGGAGCCACTCTCCTCCCTCTTAAGTCCATGGTAGTGCTGGCCCTGACCTCTGATGCCCTGACCTCAAGAGGCAGCCCTGCACATTTTGCACTGAAGAGATAGAAGGCCAAGCTTGTACAATACTTCTGCTTCCCCATCAACTTTTAAAGCCTCCAACTATTTTTCACTTGGGGGATTTCCTGGCTGTGATGCTTTTAACTCTTCAGTAGCTACCAGACCTTATCCCTTGGCTTGTACAGCTTCTCCCCAGAAGCAACACACAGTGCCTGGGTGCAGAACCACTTCCTGCACACTATAAGCCTTTTCTTGGCACCCCTTGTCCCATCCAGGATCGATCCTTGACCAGTCAGCCTCTCTCCATCTCCTCCAGACCCCTCTGGATTTTGTAGACACTCATCATATCCCCACCCAGGAACTGGTTTTCCTCACTTGCATCAGCTTCCTGGTGACTTCACCAACCTCCCTTGCTTCCCATAATGTACAGACTTTTTTCCATGTCGAAACCTTCCTTCTTTTCCTATGGCTGCTCTGCTCCCTTGGAGGCCATCACTGAGCTACTTGATCAAAAGTGGACCTTGCAGTAATGTGGAAAGATATGAAACCCTGTTGGTCAATCAAAATCAAGGTATCCTTAAGAAAGCATCAGTGGTTGAGAAAAAATATGGGCCAAGCCACCCCAAAACACTTGCAAATGTCTTTGATCAAGACATCACAGACAATGCTTAGAAACAGCAGAAACTTTCCTAGTCACACTGGGATTGCTGGTAACCAAGGCTTTCTCAGTGACATTACCTTAATTAGGAACGTTGCATGGATTTTGCCCCTAATCCTACATGGAACAGCACGTCCCAAGGGTGGTCATGCTGCAGAAAAGCAGGAGCCTGAATTTGCTTGCTTTTCTATCTTGTAACCAGACAGAGTGTCAGTATCATAGGACAAATGAGCTGGCATCAAGAGCCTTGCTAGAAATTGTTTATTTTGTTCCTAAAAATATGAAGAGGTCAAAATGTTCAAGTATGAGCAGCCCAAAGCAGGCATCTACTTGGACTCTGTGGTAAGGCTGGCATTTTCCAGAGATGCTCAATCCTATCCTTAGGGAGTACACTGGATGCTCTTGTTGCTCCAGGTTAACATTCTTAAAATGTTAGAGCTCATGTCCTTAGTTGTAGGACCACTGAGCAGCAGGACTTGGGATGTGATTTTATCTCCCAAGTAAAGATTCTTGGTGCCTGATGTGTATCTCAAAGTAAACATCCTCCAGGTTTAGTTGTGGGTCTACCCCCTATGACTGTGTGGGGCACGTGCCATGGCTGCTGGCAGTCACATGTAACTGCAATGTTTGCTGCTACTGTGCAGGTACCAACACAGTGATTGTTTAGAGGGGAACATAAAGCATCAGGGACTCCACAGAGAGCAAAACACGTATATCCTGCTGGATCAAACAGCAGCACACATCAAAGTGTAATGAAAATACCCAAAACTTTCAAATGGAGAGTCATTGCCAAGAAAGGAAAAGAAAATACAGAAAAGATTGTGGCATGCTTAATAATAAAATCTGTAATAAAACATATGATAAAAAGACTTGGATGAGCAGCCTAGAAAGAGAATACAAAAACTGTCAGCAGAAATTTTCAAAAATTATCTGAAGCAGGAATTTGGGGGTGTCAGAAGTCAGTAAATAACTGGCACAAGTGCAAGAAGGGCAACCAAAAGTAGGGGAGTGTAGAAAGGCTGAATGGATTACTGGCTGTAATGCTCCCTTCAGACAAGGTCAGAGAGGTTGTGGCAGTCACTCTCCACAGTTTGAAATGTTATCATATAGGATTGGCAACAGAGGAATTTTAAGGAGGGAAAAAAAAAGGGATAAATAATCTGTGGTAAAGGACCAGCCCAAATGTCTTTTGCATTACAGGAATGTAAATGTGACATTTAAAACATTTCTAAGGAGTGTATTAAATGCTTATTTAAAGCAACCTCGACACCAAAGGGCTGCATTACAGCAATAATGCCCCTCTTAAAATGGATCCTTGCACAGCCTAGGGAGACACAGGTTCTTAGGCTCCATTTCAGCATTGCACAAATCAATGGAAGCAAAGAAGAGTATTTACAGACAGATAAACATGAGAAAAGTCAATGCAGCTTTTGTAATGGGAATGCCTGACATCCATGATGCTATCAGTAAGAACATAAATATGCTGAGCAGATCAAGGTCTTGTGCCAGTGTTTGCAAAAGACTTTCGATATGAATATTCCATCAAGGCCCTTAAGAGACTCCATTCTCATGGAGTAGGAGACAGATCTAGTCCAAAGGCTGGAACAAAGACATGGAATAGGTTGACACAGCAGTAATAGTATCAAAAGATGCTCAGAAAGATCAGAAGGGATGAATAATGAAGTAATTAAGCTTGCTGAAGCCACAAAGTAATTAAGAATAATCAAAACTTAAATTAACTTTGTGAAGCTGCAGGAGGAGCTCTGATACTGATGGAGCAACAAAATGTTATTTTTCTTTGAAATTCAGAGCTGAAAACTATAGTGGGCAAAACATTTTACCCATAAATACCCAGCAATACTGTCTGAGTTAGTTCATACAGAGCGCTGGAATGGCTGCCCAGAGAGCTTGTGGAATCTCCCTCTCTGGAGATGTTCAAACCCCATGTGATTGTGTTCCTGTATCACTTGCTCCAGGAGATCCTGTGTTGGCTGGATTGGACTGTCATCCCTTCCAACCCCAACAAATCTATGATTCTATGATTTTTGGAAAGAAGCACTGGTTATCTTGTTGTTTTGAGTGAACTATTTTCTTGTCTGATTCTTCTCCTTTTCCTCTATTAGCAGACAGGATCCTGGGCTCAGCAGATGTTTTATCTGATCCAGCACAGTTGTCATATTCCCCTGTTACATTGTAATGCATGTCTCAAATTATTACTTTGGATATGCGTTTCTCAGTTAAACTGAAGCAAAAGTGTGAGAATCCTGAATTCCACATCCTAGGGAAAAACGGTGAGGGTGGGGTGGGGCTGGGGGAGGATTGTATTAATCCACTTCAATTTTCTAAAGTTTATGGGAAATTACTTATGACACATTACTTCTGCCTTTACAGTCTGGCAGAAACTCAAGTCCTAAATGCATTAATTATCTTACCTCCACCCAGCCCTCATTAAGGGTTAAAGAGAACAGAACTCACAAGTTGCCCACAGACAGCTCAGAAATTTAATTTCCATTTAGACACATTGGCTCGGCAGGAATTGTCTGGATTGGTGGCTATCACAAGTCCATGCAAATTAATATCCCAGTGCAGATACATTGATCAGACAATCTCAGAGTTGGTGGAGAAGCACTGTGGTTTCTGGCTCTTCTCCTCAGGCATTCATAAGCAGAAATCCCTGAGCTGTTTCTTATTTAACGGCCCCAAGGCATTATTAATCTAGCAGAACCCTAGAATTTCCTGAGAGAAAAACATGAGAGCTCCTTTAAACTATTGTCTACACTGTTGTTATTGTGTACCAGCTTCTGTTTATACTGTCACTAATCTTTTCAGGTACTGAGCCAAATACTTGTATTGACTCAGTATTGTTGTGGTTTGTTGTGTTTGTTTTGTTTTGTTTTGTTTTTAATTTGGGAGGAGACACTGCAGAAATAGTTTAGATAAAAATCAGTGTTCTTGCCTAACTTTTCAGTGTCCTCTTACTCTTTATGCTCAGTACTATACGCTGATGGGGCTTTTATAATTCTGTCTCCTGGGGAAAATAGAAAAAACATCACTGTAAAAGCTGGGAGTTGCAATGTGTTGTTATTAAAAGATTTCTCAGAATGTTCAGAAATTTGAAACTTCTATTTCTATCCATCTATCTTAGGCATAAAATATACAGCAGAAAGTTCACCTGCAACAGTAGTGGATGGTTTAGCACTTAACATTTTGCTCAGGAAAATTCACAGGCCACACCTGATGATGTTATACTGAAAACATTAGCAATCCTTCAGCTAATGTGATATCCATCTAAATCATCTGAGATGTTTGGACCTGTTGCTCTTAAAAGCAGCAAGAAATTACAGAAATTGCTTTAAATTGTGTGTTTGTTATGGGACAGCTACAATGTCTCCCTCTTACAAAAGGATTTTTAAAAATGGTACTTTTGTTCCTATGGTGCACAGATCAATGTCAAGTGTGATAAATCCAAGATAATGTCAATACTTACATGAGCTGCCTCAGCCAAGTACCTACACACTTTTGGTGGGATATGGTTTCATCCCCGCACTGCTTTAATACCTCCAGAAGCCACTTAGTAGAAAGTGTAGCCCAAGGTGGCCTAGTTGGCCCCACATGAACAGCATGAGGGGGATGTCAACTGCTCTTTTATAATAAAGATTTGACCAGGACAGGGGCAAAAGATCCCTTAAACTATCTAATCTAATTCATTTGGAGGGATGGAAGGATGGCTACATAGTTAAAACAATTGAAGTACTGAATTGAATACATATATATATATATATATATAGAGAGAGAGAGAGAGAGAGAGAGAAAGAGAGAGAGAGAGAGAGAGAGAGAGAGAGAGAGAGAGAGAGGCAGATATTTGATATAATCATTCAAATTGAAAGGATGTTTTTCCTCATTAGCTCCTTAGTTACATAACTGCTATTTTCCTCCAGCATTGCTCATGGCTATTTGCACCCTCATTCTTTTCAAAGAAATATCATTCCAAGAAATTAGGAAGCTGTGGCAACTATTTATCCAGGCATACCCATCCAGGAAAGGACTGGTGGGTTACATCTTACCTCCCCCAGGGTATTTACAAGGAGATGTGTTTTCTTCAGATGTGCACAGTACTAAACCGTGCTCTGATTGTACAGCAGTAGCAGAGGGACAAGGCTTCCTCATAAAGAACACCCGTCTGGAAAAGTGCATCTGTGCCTCCCATGAGACCCACAGCATCAGCCTGGCCAGCTGCAAGGAGCACTCCCAGCAGCAGCGCTGGGCCTGGGACCCCGACTCAGGCACCATCATCAGCCTGCACACCAAGTACTGCCTGTCGGCCCACAGGATGCACCAGGACAGTCTAGTCAAGCTGGAGCCCTGTGCAGATCGGGAACACCAGGCATGGTCCTGCAGCAAGAAGGGACACTTGACTCTGCAGAGCTTGGGCTTCCACCTTGGCACGAAGGAGGGGGGCCACAAGGTCTTTGTCTCCAGGGAGAAGGACAAGTTCAGCAGGTGGAAGACGCTGGCAGATGAAACCATCTGTGCTGCTGCCCAGACAGCAGCTCAGAGGCCCAGAAAACCAACACAACAAGTTCCAGACACACGTGTGTGGACCTATGAAAGTAAGATGAGGTAGATTTAGTGTCAGATAACATCTAACTTTCATGTCATCCAAGCCATCTAACACCAAGCTTGCACATGTCATTCCAACTCATGTTCACTTCAGCATCACCTGGAGAAACACCAAATGGCTCCAGCTCAACCCACTACCTGGTACCAGTGTTTTCCAGTAGTGGTTGTTCAGTGTTTTCTAGAAGTATGCAAAATCTTACATGATCAGGTCTCCAAAACCCAGCTGCCTTTCTGAAAACAGGCAAATATTTTGATAAAATATTTCTGAACTAGTGCCCACAGTTAAGAATAGTGGAAAAGAGCCTCCCAAGCACAAAATACCCAACGAAGTCTCCCAGAGTCAGAAACTTTAGACTTTGAAAGAACTTTTGGTACTTTGTGATGTCCTTTTGGTAAGACAACAACAAGAGGCAGCTGAAAACCTCTTTTAAACTTACATGAATTATTGAGAAGCGGATGTATCAGAAATTATTTCTTCAGTTTCTGAAATTAAATTTCTCTTCTGTGAGACCCCAACAGTGCATCCCTCACTAATGAAACCTAGATCTAACTTTCGTTCCGTATCCTTATTATCCTCAGTAAAGCTTGCTGCTGGTGCCCAGTATAGCCATAAAGAAACTGGTGAACACCACAAATAGTGGGAGGTAGCTTAAGCGTTGCCCTCCCTTTGCATTAGGAAATCCCGGAAGATTATATCAAAAATTATTAAAAATAGGGTTTATATTAACCATTTATGGCCTTGGCCTTTGCTGAAGAGAATCCAAACTGCTTTCACCATTATTCCCTGCCCTTTGTCTTAGACTGGACACACAAAGGGCAAAAGCCCTGACCTTGTCACAATTTTAGGAGTTTGACATAAGGCTACCAAACAGCAGGCATGGTCATTTTACCAAGATGTGGCTGTGATCATTTGTTGCATACCCAGCAAAGCCCACTGCTGACCACTGATAGTTCATGGTTCAGTCTGTTTCCCACTTTCATTTAAGGCCTTCCAGCAAAAAAAGGTGTTTTTTTGTACTTTTATTGTAAAGGTGTATGTAGAACTGAGACTTGAAAATCACATTCAATTCCTCCTCTCCTCCTCCCCTCCTCTCCTTTCTTTGACTCCAGAGACCCAAAAGAGCTGGTGTTTGTAATGGTTTTTATGTGTTATCCACTCTGTAGGTGATGAAGTTCCCAACATTTTTCACGGAAAATTATTTCCCTGACAGGGGGCTATTCCTTACCTTACGGCTGATGGACCCAATGAGATTTTGAGCTCTGAAGAAATTAGTAAAGAGAAAATGTGATGTATCTGGTTGGCATAAGCCGTGGATTATAAATATAACCTTTTGACACAGAAACACTGTATCTATTTGAAATAAAAAGAGATACATCAGCTGCTTTGGCCATCGTGTAGAGAAGGTGGCCTTTTTTCGCCTCAAGGTTTTTAATTAGACAACTAGAAGGTCAGCATGTAATTATCACAATAGTTACAAGTCTTAGTATTTGTTTAACATTAAGTTAAACAGGGACTACACAAATTAGATACTGTAATAGGCTAGCTAAATATAGGCTAGGAAATGTGAGGAACATTTAAGATATGGGAAAAAGGCATGTGAAAAGAGCATTTTCATTCCCCAAGGCAATGCTCCTGGCAGCCCAGGGCTGCCCTGGAACCAGGATCCCCAAATAAGGCTGTGAGGGTAAACATAGAGCAGCTTTTGAATCAGGCTGTGCCACTCGGTGCGTCTCATGCAAAGTCATAATTTTCCTATCAATCCCATGGTTCAGTCTACTGGAGGGAACCTCTGACTATTTAGTAACAACATCTGATGTTCCCCTCCTCACACAGCCCCCTGAATATCAGGCTAGCTCAGAGGTCCAAGGCTGTGAGGGGAGGAATATCAGATGGCAAAGATTCCCAAAAGAGGCTCTTACCCTGATATACATTGGTTCAGCTCTCTTTATCCTGTGATGTCCATGGGGAGAGCAGGGCAAAAGAGGACAAACAGGAAATGTCAGGGGTCTATATAGACTTTGGACAGGGAGGGCTTCCCTGGCTCTCTGCCAACCCCATTGGGGCAGGAAGGAGGGGTCCAGGGTTATCTTGATCAGAGTCACAGGGTCCCGGGAAGGGGAAATAGAGTGCCCATGAGCTCACTGTAACAAACAATCAAAGTCCAATGTATTTGTTCAGGTATTTTTTATCTAACTTCAGCTGATCATCAAGAGACAATTTACACTTTGGTGGGTTATCTGCTCAATAGATTACCCGTGTGTAGCTGTGGTGTGGGTGCTCATGCCACAGAATGGGATGTGGTTTGGATAGGCAGCAGGGAGTCCCAAAGACACAGTTTTTTTGGTCTCAGCATGTGCATCATTGCAGCAGAGAGGTGAATTGCTGACACCAAACTTCCCACAACCTCCTCTCTAGCAGCAGTTGTTTCCCCACACACCCTACTCTGCAGTAGGACTGGAGGGCAAAGGAAAGTATTGAGCCTTGCAAGAAGTATGGCCTACTTACCACCCTTTGGATCCCATTTTTATATCTGCAGTGTTGTTAATAGCTGTGATTCTTCCACTTGCCTCTTCCTCACACATCATTCTTTAACAGCTGATGCTGCACTCATACTTTCAAAACTCATGACCATATCTACCACCAGAAAACTTGATCTGCTTTAGTTGTTGATTCCATCTTGAGAGGTTCATTTCACCTTTAAAATCTGTTACAGCTTAAAGCCCCTGATGCACAGGAGGAGGTGATTGCTACAGCACCACATCCTCCCACCCAGCAGGGCAGAGAACCAAACCAGCAGGGCTGAGTTCCCTATATAGTGAGCATATCCAGGTTTCTGTACAAAAAGTAAATGATAATCACACAGATCTTTGCTTTATTTCCTTCCAAGCTAAAACCATTGATTCACCAAAGATTGATGCTGTGGACAAAGAATCTTCTGTGAGCTTGACTGACACCCCTCTGGCTAACTTGTTCAACAGCACAGTGTCTCCTGCAAAGACCAAACAGGCACAGCTCCCAGCAAATGAGGGTGAGCTCTTTTCTGAATGCGTAAGTAAGAACAGCAGGAAGGAAAGTGTGGGCAGCACTTCGAGGTTACTCATCTATTTTCAGTGGTGGAAGAGTACCTGAAGATTTCTGAAGAACTTCCATGTGTAACACTGAGTGCCTTTACCCAACATGCTGAGGAGCTTCCCTTGGCAAGCACTTCAGTGATACAGGCTTAACCTGGAGGTATAGCCACCAACTGTTTAGATGCAAAAATTATCTGTGGCTGGGGAACACCAAGTGACAATAAAGTTTCCTTTTCCTTTTTGAGTCCCATACAAAAGGGATTTGTGTTTACAGTGAAGCCTCATGAGGAATCTGGACCCCTGGTCCACCTGGAAGCTGCTAATCAGAGTCTTTCTGCTTCTTCCACTAGATCCATCCCACAACCACTCCAAGAAACATGGAAATCGGGGTAAAAACACTGGGGGCAGGCTTGCAGGTAGGTCCAGGGATCAGCCAGAGAAGGAAGGGACCAGGTAGATGAAGGTTCATCAGTGCCCCTGTCCTTCCCATTGTAACAGAGATACATTTCCCTGGGGTGCTACTGAGGATGCTTAATAGCAAATGAGGGCAGAAAATTACCTGTCAGAAAGACTCTTTTTAAATCTCCACAGGCCTGTGACTAAAAAAAAAAAAAGTAAAACATGAAAACCAGACAGCTGCTAGCACTATTGCTTTCCCCCAGCCCTTATTTTGTGTCAGAAATCTGTAGACTGGAGAACATGATGTATCATTGTCTTCATAGCATGAAATAAAAACTTTTGTGGCCACTTTTAATAGAAGGATACTGTGCAGTGTAAAAACAGCTGTAAGATGTTGATGTTGTAGACAAAGCACTTTTCCTGTTATCTGGCATTTTTCAGGACATTACAGGTGATTTTTTTGTGGCAATTGCATAAGAACAGGGATATGTACAGCAAACACGTGATGCTTTCTCTGATACCCTTTCAGGCACAAACTGGAAGACAGCCATGCTGGTCCTCAGCCCCTTGGCATTCATACTGGGATTAATAATACTGACACTCAATGTTCACTACAACAAGTAAGTGAGAGTCAGGTTCATTGGCTTTGCCATGAACAGCATCTTAAAGAAAAACTCCAACATCTCAAAACGAAAGTCTGGTCTTGGCACCTCTCCCCATTCCACACCCAATGTTGCTGGCTCTCAGCAGATGGGTCTGGTCACCAATGTGTCACCCTTGGGGATTTCTCTTCTCTGCCACCCAATTTATCCACACCATTCACTGACCCACTCAAATGTTGGTCCTACTCCCCTACAAATCTTGTGCTATCACTGAAGAAAATGGCATTACAGTTGCTGATGTGGAGAAGCAGCCAAATGACAGACAGGTGCAGTTACTCTCTACTCTCTTCTCTTAGGAAGAAGAAAATCCTCTCTGCTCTGAAGAGCTCTCCAGCCAACAGCAGCAGAGTTGATTTACGGGAGCCGACCCCCTCGCGAAGAGTCCCCCAGCTGTACCTTCCACCATCCCGCTCCCCTTCCCTGAGGCATGGAGAGATCCTCATTGAGTGGAAAGATGGGACTGTCACTCCTCTTTTTGATAACATCAATTACCAAGTGGACTAGCTCCCAAATGACAGAGCTTTTGTTTCATGCCATGTCACTGTTCCCACCACAGGTGATCTCCTCCCTACCCTTGCTGTTTTGACAGGAAGCACAGTCTGGGGTCTTTTTCTAAACACTTGAGTACAATCTCATTGCACGTGACAAGGTTGAAGCAAGCAGATTGTTTGGTTTGTATAGGCACAAGCTGCTTAGCAATTTCAGAGCTGCTTTAACCCATAACAAATCCCTAGTTTCCCTAAATAAAGTTGGGACTTCTGCCAGCTGCAACTGCCCATTGAACCAAAATTAGTTACTGAGCATATGAAAAAGTGAATCTTTGAAGACAAGGGAAAGGTATAAAAAACAGAAGTCCTGATGATCCTTAAATTCTTTTTAAGATAAAACTAGCTGCCAGAAGATATAGAAGGCAAATTACATTGTCAGTGTGAGAATGTAATTAATAAGCACTGCCTTCCATACAATGTCTTCTGGGTATACGCCAAAAGATTCATCCCCACTAAGCTGTCAATTAAGTAACAACAAGTCATTTTTCTAACTTAAAATGTATCACTCCACTGCATCACTGCAAGAGCCCTGCTGAGAGAGCATGTGTCTCTCAAAACTTCTATATTTAGGATGTACTTAACCTTATTATAACACACATCCTCTTTTATTATATAGACTGGCAAGAAATGTCAGTCATGCTTGTTGGGGATATTGCATATAGAGCCACTTTATTCCAGCTTCAGTCTCTGATTTCCTATAATCATATGGAATAGTCAATTAATAGATACATCGCTCCACCAGAGCAGTAATACAGTTGTTTTTCTTTTATATAGGAGTAAAACATTATTTTCAGCCTTTACACTTCTTGTTTGAGCAAAATTACCTGTGATTGTCACACTCAATCCTGATCTTTTCTCAGTGAAATCTGCAATGTCTTAGAGCTTTCCTAATATTCATTAATGTATATTCTTTCTCTCTGATTCTGAGATGATGTAATCATGGCTTTAAATCAAGAGTTATGTGGAGAAAGAAACAATAACACCAGGAAATTACAAGTATGAGCTGTGTCAGTGTATCTGTTCAGTAGAGAAAAGGAAACCATATCCTCACGTCTCTTACTTGAGCAACGCCTTTCACTTGACCTAAATTAAGCTGTTCTGCTATTTCAGTGTAGCTTGGACTTCTCTTGAATTTGGTTTTATTTAACCAACAGCAGAAGTAAGGTCTCTCAAGGGAATTTCAAATCTCTAGAGGTTTTTCTTGTTTGTTTGTTTTTGGGGTTTTTTAAATTATTTTTCTTTTTAAACAGTAAGAAGTTTACTGTCATGAGATATTTTGACCAAAAACTTAACTGGTCTTAAAAAAAAAAAAAAAAGCCCTATTGGTTTAGGGCATACATATCACAGAGGTTGGAAATAAATATCTTTTCCAGGCAGATTATTCCATCATTATTTACTGGAGGGTTTCCCAGATGCTCCTTGGGAAAATATTTTACCATTAGACATGGGCAGAGGAAGAACTCTTTCTTCATCAGTGAGCAGCAAGAATCAGAGTTAAATTCTGAGTTTTCAACATTTCTACTTTAAATGAAACTTAAAGACTCTAGATTCTGGGAGCAAAAAATGTTTAAGAATCATTTTACTCACAAAATTAGTGGGAATACATTCTGTTCATAAATTACTTTGAATGCATATACAGTGCCTGACCCATTACTGCAGTTACACCCCTCAGAATTTTGTCCAAGGAGTGCATTACCTTACAATGCACAGCACTGGTCACCCTCCAAAACAGCTTTGGGAACACTATGTGAGCAGTGCCATTAAAAAGGAAATACTGGCTTGGAGCTGAGTTAATGTGTTTTCCAAAGCACCAAGTGTCTGCATTCATTACTGCTGAATGGGCAGAAACGATGACTTGTTAACGACTTTCTAACTCCAGCTTAATATGCTAATCTTGCTCATAAACAAGAAGGCAGCAACACCACTGTTTACACAGCACTGATTAAATGGTACCTCAAACAATAATGAAAAACCAAGGCTGAGGCTTCGCAGGCTTTTAACTCTCCCACTCTCACTGGTTGTTACACTCTCTGCCACCACCTGAATGAAACACTTCTGAGCACAATCAAAATAAAGCCTGTAATGTGGATGAGCACTGAAGGTTTTCATGTGTTTATATACATACATATTTATATATACATATAAATATGCATATATAGTGCATATTACAGTGCATCCCTTTTTTTGAAAATACAAATATGTGCAATTTTAAATGACTCCACTGGAAGATAATTGAGTGACAAGCAAAAGACTTGTCACACCGGCACCAATATTAAATAATGTCTGCTGCCCCAAAAGATGAGTGGCTGCAGCCATAGAAGCACTGAAAGTATGAAACAGACACAAGACTGCACATAAGCTTGGACATCCTGTGCAGAATGTGGATTAAATACCCTTTCCCAACTCCCTAAAAATATATGGCTAAGGTGTCTGTTAAAGATCAAAAAACTAAAAGAGACAAAAAAACTTCAATTTACCACTTAAATACTGTACCTCAACCATTTACTAAGACTGTCTGAATGGAAAATATTCTCACAACAGCACATTAGGGATATACATAAATTCATGATACAAAAAAAAAAAAGACCTGAAATGATCTGACAAGTTATCACTGCATATCACTGGTAATAGAACTACTGCTTCCTCATTTGAAATTCAAGATATGACTTCTGCAGTAAATGTTTTGTTATTAAAAATCCCCATATGCTCATTTTCTCAACTTTCTGCTTTATATCAGCAAGTCAAGATCTATCAAGTGTTTGATTTTTCAAAAGGACCAGTGGTTGTTCAGCACTTCAAGGAAGAAAAAGAAAGGGGGGGGAAAAAAAAAGAAAATGAGACAGAGAACAGAGGAAGTCTTTTGTTAGCTCTGGGCTTCAATTCAGATATCTCTGGCTTATGGTTCAATCAGACTACACTTTTTTGTGCTAGCTAGGAGAGACAAAAGCACAGTCTCTTTAAAAGCTCTGTGTATCCTCACTGAATTTCTACAGATTAAAAAAAAAAAAAATCTATATTTCTGCAAGCCATAAAGCCATATAATTTTTCCTCCAGTTTAAAACATAAAAAGCACACCTGTCTCCTCAAGAAATCCCCTTATACTTCACAAAAACACTTATTCTCTGGAGCAGAGAAATTGATGCACTTCTTTCAGCACTGCTTGCATGTCCTCATATTCTGCAAATTTGCAGGCATCCTCCAGCTTCAGCCACTGGAAAGCTTGGTGCTCCTCTGACAGCTTGATTTCTGTGTTGCAGTCCTTCAGTTCTGCCAGCCAGTACACGACAGTCTTAGGCTTGCCATGGACAGGGTAGTGCAGCTCTTTCTTGTAGCCCTCGATGAGAGTGAGCTGGCTGGCCTGCAGACCAGCCTCCTCCTGTGTTTCCCGGAAGGCTGTCTGCAGGTCATCCTCCCCAGGGTCCACGTGGCCTGCCAAGAGGGTGGAAAAGTAAATCTCTGGGAAGGAAACGCACATTTTGCTTTAATCGGGAAACACTGGGAAGCAGACACGAGAGTACATGGTAGCTGACACAGGAGGAAATGGAAATTAGAGAGGAGAGATTGCTTTTCCAGATCTTATGTCTTGATTTATCTTTGTTTTGTGGCTTTTAGGATCATTGTTTATCCCTCACCTCCTGAAACTTCCATCAGCAACTCAGCATCAGACATCTTTTCTTCCCATTCCTCTACTTCTACAGTACATCCATAAAGTTCTACCTTAAATTATACTGAGGATCCCTCATTTTTCCTTTATCCAGATAGAGCAGAGACCGGTCGTCTGAGAGTCTTAATCCTCTCTCAACTATGTCCTCTCACATAAGCTTAAGGCTCAATTCTGCAAAACTCTTAGTTGTGCCAATGGTCCAGAAACAACAGGACTAGGCACAGACACATACCATTTAAAAGGTGCATTTCATTTAAGCAGCTAGGGATTTTTTCTCTTCCATACTCCCTTCTGAAACAAGCAAAAAATCTGAAAGCCAGTCCTTTCAGCAGCTGGGTAGTTAGTTCTCCTAGGACACACCATTTATTTTACATTGCTCAGAACAAGAGGTGCCACTACAAACAATGTATAAATATAACACATCCTCAGCCATATCTACTTTTGTTGAGAAATGTCAGATTTGGTTTTCTCATGAAAGCTCCGGAACATAAATAGAACAAGCCAAGCAATACCTCAAAAAAAGCAACATAGCAGGACCTGGGACATTTTAGAAGGCAAAAGAAGTTTAAGCTCTGTTTTTTCCCTGGTGTTACTCTATTTTCTATGTAGCTGGCTCCAAATAGCTATAAATTCACCACAGAGATTAACTGTTCCTCGGGTCTCAGATACCCAAAGTGTCCTTTTAGTACCACATCTGGGCTATGTAGGAAGTTTGTTTTGCCTTTGCAACGGGTCCCACTCACTTCCCTGCCCGTGTATCAAAAATGTGAACAACCTCTTACAACATGACATCACCTCAAATGTAAAATACATTTTTCTTTCAAGCAGCAGCTATGCAGAACACAGCATCTGATGTTGATACCTGTTGATAACCTCAGGTCTGAGCTCAATAAGTTGCCACATTTGTGCAGTCCAGTCTACCTGCAGAGCACAAAAAGGACTGCAGGCAGCACCTCACACACCACAGCTTTCAGATCCTCCCACCTGTTCCCACTGGTGCAGTTCTGATAGATTGAGAAGGAAAATGAACCCTACATCCCCTTCCCATCAGCCTCCGCTAGTGAAAAGTCACGGTCCTAGGGACAGAGATAAGGCTGATGAGGTACATGTGAGGGGATCCAGTTTAATCCCATAAGAGATGCAGCAGCTTCGAGACTTTATAAAATAACAAGGTACAGCTGTAGCTGTTAACTGCCTTTTGTGTATGCTTTGAGAGACACGTACGACTTCTCCTTCTAACTCCTGCCCCATGGAATCAATCCTAACATCACGTACATGTTATCATACTGCATGTCCCAGGGCCACCTTGGAAGACCACTCCTATCCAGGTATTATAAAATGGAATAGCTTCTCTTCATTAAATTCCCCCAAATCATTATCAAGCTTCTATTATAGGCCACCATCAGATTCTGGTCTTCAATATCTAAAATCTGAAGCAGAGTGTTGAGGGAGGTGATCCTCCCCCTCTGCTCTGGTGTGACCCCACCTGTAATGCTGCATCAATCTCTGGAGTCCTCAGCAAGGGAAGGACATTGACCTGTTGGATTGAGTTCAGAGGAAGTCATGAATACAATCAGGGAGTGGAACACCTCTGCTTTGGAGACCAGATGAGAGAGTTGGGGCTGTTCAGTCTGGAGAAGAGAAGACTATGGGGAGACCTCAGGGTGCCTAAAGGGTGGTTGTTTATAAGAAAATTGGGGACAGACATTTGAAAAGGGCCTGGAGTAACAGGAGAAAGGCTCCTGCTTTTCATCTAGGAGAGGGAAGACTCAGACTACAGACAAGGAAGACTTGCTTTTACTATAAGGCTGGTGAAATACTGGCACAAGTTTCCTGGAGAGGCGGTGGGGGCCCCATCCCTGGAAACGTCCAGGTTGGATGGGACTCTGAGTAATCTGCTCTAGTTGAGGATGTTCCTACCCACTGGTGGAGGCTTTGACTAGACAACCTTTAAGAGTCCCTTCCAAGCTACATTGTTCTGTGGTTCTGGGTGTGTGAGATATATGCTTATGAGACAATTAGCTCCCTACCAAAATGCCTACAAGCAATTTAAATCACTTGTCCAGAATTACTGTGTTCCCAGGGCTCCTTACACAAGATTTCTTCTCACAACAATCAATCATGTCCCAGCAGATATTTTTTTAGCTTTCCACTAGGCTGCAAACTCAACTCCCTTAGATTCTTGGTGCAACAGAGGAAAGGGAAACACTGGGAAAGTTTTGTTCTTTCCCTGAATAGAAGAGCCTAGCTGACAGTGTTAAAAGATTTTTTTTTCCCCAATTTGCAAGTTCTTGTTTATGAACTGCTGTACCACACTTTTACCAAATGAGAAGTAGAAACTATCAGGACAAAATCTCAGAGGTAAAAAAGAGCATTCAAGAAGATCTCCAGGGAACCTAAAGTATTTCTGTGCTGCGCTTTTTCTGGTACCAGGGCTGTGACTGTGTACTAGCAAACACCGGCTCTGCAATGTGCCTTTACAGAGGAGGTGCTGCTCTCTGTCCTGGGACACAGTTTGTTTTCTGCTCTGAGGCCTCACTGATGACCAAGAATGGCTGGTAAGGTTAATTCTTCTATCTGTCCCTCTCATCTCTACTGCATTAGGCAAGTGATCTTCATCAATGATCTCCTGCATCTCCTAAGAACAGCGTATTAAAGTGTTCTATTACAGAGTTCAGTTGGCCTTCCTGAAGACTGTGACCACAGCCCTGCAGACTCTGACCACACATGGGTCAAACAATCCTGCACTGGCAACACTGCAGGCACCTGCCAAAGTGTGAGGGCCGAGGCAAGAAGGTAGAACATCCTCTCATCACCTTGCTTCAGTCGTGTGCATATCTTTGTCAGAAACATTAGACACCTGAGAGCTCGGCTGGGTAACAGCCCCTGCCCCAACCCAAACCAGCCGTGCCCAACACTTTGTACAGACACAACTTGCAGAGGATTTCAGCCTCAAAACTGCCCCCTCACCTCCAGCACCATCAAACAGCACAAGCCAGCAGCTACTTTCAGGTGGTAACTGCCCCTCTAAACTGACCTCAGCCAAAAACCTCTCTGCAGCCTGACCACCAGGAGTGTTACCAGAACAAAAATCACCTTTGGGCGGGGTCCAGTGGTGGGTCCCATAGGATGTCTGAAGCAGGAGGTACTCGATGCAGTCAGTGACCTTAGAGCATGCTGCTGGCTGCAGCCTCCTGTAGATGATCAAGCCACAAGCTCTCACAGCCATTCCACTCTGCCAACTGCACCAGGAGCTGCAGAACAGCACAAACAAGGGACTCGAACAGACCAGCCGTATTTAGCCAGTGAACAGATCTCAGCACAGTAAAAAAATTGTCCACCCCTCTGAAGTCACCACAGAATTAAATTGTATATTATTAGCTGCCTTTGAATTGTAAAAAAATTTCCTTTGTTATAGAGAAGCATGAAAAATGACCTGTAAGTCATGTCTTTGCTGCTGATAAATTGCAAACCATATTGCAAGGAGGGGGAAAAAAATTACAAAGCAAAAGGAAAACCACAGATTAATACTCTGAAACTGTTCTACTGCAAAACTCCAAAGGCTCTGTGCAGAGGTAATAGCTCACCATTACTGGAACTGGCATACGGAAATAATTGCTCCGGGCAGTTTCCCTAGAGCACAGGACTCCTCAGGATATCAGAAGCAAAGCTGAGAAAATGAATGACAAAGGACAGGCTCTCTGCTGTCTCACCTAGACATAAGGCTGTCATACAAAACTACAAGTTTCTTAGCACACGTGCTAAGCACTGATTTGATGTGAACAGTAAGGAACACACCTCTTAAGTGACAAATATTGTCAGCAAGAAGCTACGCAGCCAGCATGAGTAGTCCTAGAGAGAAAAAGAAGCAATGGAAACGAGTAATCCATTCCACAAATCTGGCCGATTCCCAGTCCTGGGCAAAGCTTTGCATTCTGGCAGAGACGCACACTTCAGTAAATAACTGTACACAACAATGCATTTTCCTGGGACGCCAAGAGCGGCACCGTGACACCTCCGGCTTCCAACACGGGAAACCACAGCACGGAGCCCTTCGCCAGCAGCCACAGCCCTGGACGACGCTCAGCTCTTGTGGTCCACCACTTCAACCGCTTCCTTTAGTTCTTACCTAGCTCCTTTAGCTCAGGCACAGCACCCCCAGGACAAAGCCCCACTGCGGCCCTGGGGCCAGCCCGAGGAACCAGCACCACCTCCCGTGCGCGCCTGTAAGGACAAGGACAAATCCCAGCGGGGCCCCTCCGCCGGCGCCCGGCGCGACGCGGCCGCGCTGCCCCGGCCTCTCGCCACCCGCAGAGGGATGGGGACACTGGGCACGGGACACCGGGGTCGGGACACTGGGAACGCAGACACGCATCACCCCTACAGCGGCCCCCACGGACCCCCGCCATCACCTCTGCTTCCGGCTCCGGCAGCCGGCGGGAACCAGGACGTGATTGGCGTCAGCCTTAACCAATCGCAGCGGCAGCAGCGAGGGCGGTAGCCACGCCCTTCTCGTCCGGGCTCCCCCGGCCCCGCCCCCGCACCCGAGGAGGCCTCGGATTGGCCTCTCGCCGGCGGAAGCGCCCCACCCGCCCCCCTCCCCTCTCCCTATTGGCTGGCTGTGCGCGCGAGGCTGCGCGCGGCGTTCGAAGCGCTGTTGCCAAGGAGACGCAGCCGAACGCCGCCGAGCGGCGCCATGGCCGGTGAGTGAGGGGGGAGCGCCTGAGGGGACGGCTCCAGCTGGGGCAGGGAGGGCTCCAGGGACATCGCCCCGACCGGCCCCACCGGGCTCTAGACGGGGAAGGGCCGTGCTGGGACAGCTCCGGGAAGGATGAGGCATGGGCCCCCCTGCACGGCGGAAGTCCGGACGCGTGGCACTTTGTTTAACTGCACTTTTATAGCTATAAAATACTTTTCAATTATGTATTTTATCTATTTTACAGATAGCACGTAGTTTTTATAACACGTAAAATATGTAAGTGCAATTAAAAATAGATATACATTATGCAAAAATTTCTAAAATACTTGAGTACTATTTAAAACAGTGTTAATATATATTTTTATAATATCTATGAAATATGTTTTTACGCTTATATTTTAAACTTTAAAGAAAACGTTCAAATTATTAAAGAAACCATGATGGACGTTTGGTATATCCTGCTGGGAGGATGAGCTCAGGCACGGTTTTCAAATAATTGGCACCCTGCCATAACTCGTGGGTTATTTTCTCGGCGTGTGGTTGAATATTGGACACTTCTAATATTCAGTATCCCTGTGTTGGAGACTTTCCCTTCTTTATGCAGCTGTTTCTGGCAGCTGTCAGGATCAGCTGTAGGATGGGGCCTATTCTGCTGAGGTCACCCGTCTATAATTAGTATGGAGAGAGGAATAAAACACTCTGAAATACTTTTTGGGGAAACAAAGAAAATCTCTTATATTCATTTGGTTGTCAGCCAGTTTTAATGACATTAATTAGTGTGGCTAGAGCAATACAATACTCTGAAATGCTTTCTGGGGAAACAAAAAAATCCCCAATATTTAGTTGCTTGTAAGGTGGTTTTAATGACATTAATTGTTTTAGCAACTTCTTCAAGGTATGTCAGTGACAAGGGAAACCCCCTTTTCTTACTTGTTGCTGCAAGCAGCAGACTTGTGCCAAGCTCCAGCTGTAAAATTGCATTAAAACAATTTAGCATTAAAACCTTTTCCTCCTCTCCAGTTACTTATGCTGTACTGATGCTAAGTAAGTGGCTATCTATCAGTGCCCAGCTTCCAAACAGCTGAACACTTGTTCCAAGGAGCCATGGAATGTTTAATGCCCTGTTGTTTGCGTGCAGGGTAGAGTAATCCTATGATCTTCCAAAGGGATCTGCTGCAATGTCAATCACGGTTTCACAGATCCCTACCTGTTAAACTAAAATTCTGGGCTCGTTTTACAGTACAGATTATCTCTTGTTGTGGAGCTTGTCTTAAAAAAGTGCAGCTGCAGCCTGACCCTGTTCTTCACAGGACTCTAATTCCCCAGGAATGGGGTCAGAATGACTAAAGGTAAAGGGTTTTGTGTGGTGCTCTCAGAAAGCAAGTTAGCCATTCACTTTTGGAGGGTTCAGTCAGATTTGGTTTTGGATCACCTTAAAAAAAAGAGCTTGATGTTCAAAGGAATCAGGAATGAAGGTGGATGGGTAATGACACAAATTAATACCTTTCCCTTTTCCCTATTCATTCTTTGCTTCTGTATTTCAAGAAACGTGCAAATTCTTTGGCATGGGCAGGACCTGTGCTGAAGTTTTTTGGGGGGTAAAATGGTTGCAAGTAATGAGTACAGTGTGCTGCTGTAGTTGCTATCGGGAGAGAACACCCATCTGCTACACATTTACAAACTTTTAAAGCTCTTAAGTTTTATTTTTATAATGTACTTGCAGAGCACCTTATAAAAAAGTTAAAAGAAAAGAAGGTAGTGTTTATGTTTTGTATGCTGATTAACATTTTCTATGTTTATCAAATACCCTTGAAAATCATGACTAATAAACTTATTTAGTGATCAGGCCAGAGTTAATGTTCAGAGTGGTTACCTTAGACTATATGCAGGACAAAATGTATCATTTGCATTTGTGGCAATGTCACGTAAGATTTCTTCACTTTATTTCCCTAATTTAAAGAATAGATATAATGACACGTGTTCTCTCTCAGTGGTGACACTCAGGAAATCATCTAAATCTGAAATTATCACTCTAAATAATCAAAAATTGTCAGGTCAATATGAGTGAGCTACAGTGGGAAAACTGTCCATGTGAGGGTTACTCAAGTGAATGGGGTGCTGAGATCTTTCATAAATCAGAAGTTAATAATGATCAAGATATAGTGGTTCTAGGCTGCTTTATTCTTAAAATAATCTCTATGGCACTTTTACATAATGTATTTTATACAGTGATTGACAGTCACCAAGCATCTTCGAAGACCTTTCCTCCACCTTGAAAAGTGCATTGAGAAGGAAAAGATCTTGTGAAAGAGGTAATTAATAATTTGAAGCACTTTAAAATGGAGAGTCAGCACCTAGAGTGTAATTTTGTTGTAAGTTAATTTCTTTCAGGACAGAAAAATGTGGCCACTGCTTTCTTTTATTTACACTGACTTTTCTGGTTTTCATCAGCTGTACGACCTTTGAAAAACCTGTATTAGTGAAGCTGGGGAAGAGTTCTCTGATGACAAGCTGTGAGCTAATTCTGTGGCTAAGCTGCTCCCTTTTATATATCATTCTAATGCTTTTATTCAACAAGCACTTACACATTACCAGCATCTGGAAGCCTTTTAAGATCATTGTAAAATGTCTCAGCATAAGAAACAAGTTGTAGAGAATTCATGGTTGCCACATAGAGATGTCAGGCTAGGTGCACATGGAGAATTTTACCTCCACACTCTCCTTTTTCTCAAAATATGTTACACCCAACTATTGCAAGAAGTCCTTGTCTTTTATCTCAACCCTGTTTTAAGTGAAGCTACCCATATCGTTGTGGGGAACAAGACCTAGATTTTGATATGAAAAGAACACACTGAAGAATTGCATGTTTTTCTGCCTCATGACATATTATTCTCATGGATGAACAAACAAATAACTGAGGAATTGCTGGCTGTTACAAGACTAAAAGTCTTCTGCCTTTTTTTTGCCAGAAGATGGCATTAACTATATAGGATTCTGGAAAACCTCCTCTTAGTTTTCACAAAGCCAGTTTGTTTTGGTGAATTGTATATCTGTTAGGAAAAGCATCTTAAGACACAAAGATCCCTACAAGGTTGGATGAATTAAAGTATTCTTTCAATTAAGAGAAAGATATCCCTGTTGTTTAGAGCATCAGCAAACTAAAAGTGAGAAGTTTCACTGGCCATGGTAGTTTTCCCTGAGCTCTTTCATGTTTGAACGACAAAAAATCTTTTAGCAATCCTAGTCTCGAAATTCAAAATGATCAGAAATGCTGATCCTCTCATTATGACAATGCCTAATTTTTTTTTTCCTGTGGTTCATTAATTTGTTACTCCTTTATTAGTGAACATAGTTTTTTTTTCCTAGCTTGTGAAATTCCTGTCCTGTCAATAAGGAGTAGATGGAGCTATCCCTGAAACCACTTAGATCCAGTAAGATTTATTCTATCTGAGAAGGCAGATCTCAGGTCTCATTAAGAGGCCAGGTCTCATTAAGAAACCATTTTGCTGCTTTCACATGACACAGAGTCTTAGCCAGTTAGCCACAGAGAGCTGCTTATATTGCTCTTGTAGGTTCTGCGGTACCTACATTACTTGGATTTTTCTAATGCTGAGCATTCTTCTGACTTGTCACTCCATATAATGTCAGCCTGTTATTTCTAGCTATTTAAATATATTTTGTTTTATTTTTAATTAGAATCTTGACCTTCAAATTTGTAATTCTCTTCCCTTGTCTGCTGTTCTTTTTTAAGAAAATGTTCTCCATTGTTTCTCTTTTTATTCTTTTTTTCTCTCTCCTGTGTTCACCATTACAATTTGAACAGAGGTTATCATTGAATTAGGGTCTCTGACACTCTGTATTTAATCTAAGGATATATAAAGATGTAGGTGTAATCTAGGATACAAACAGAGAGCAGACAAAGTAAATTTATTGGATTAGTTTTGTCTTTAACAGATTCTCAACACTTTTGAGATTGGCATCTTGGCCTTGAGTTCTAGCTGCTCCTTTCATCAAACAGAAGAAGTTTCCTATCACAGTGCACAACACCTGTACTGGTGTAACAGTACAGAATTTACATATCTGTAGATCTATATCTATATACATATACATATACACACATATATATAAGGTTTTACATCTAAAGCTACCTTATGTAAGAAAGGGAATTTTTTCCAAAATGTAATTCTTTAAAAGAACTCTCAGGTTCCTATGTGTTTTAACATGTTAGAGAAGTTGGCAAGTAGTGAATGCTTCTGAAACCCTTGCACACATATAGTCTCCCTGACCTCTGGGTTTGCTGTCCTCTCTGTCAGTTTTGATTTCCCCCTCCCAGGATCTAGCAGGCTCAGCAGTGACTCTAACTTTACCTAAGGATTCAGAATCACATTACCTACACATTAAATAAATTCACTTATATATGAATTTTTTAATCTTGGAGTTTTTTGTTGCTGAATCTTACAATTTTACCTAAAGCATGGACTCTAAGTAATTTTAGATATTCTCTACTGTACATTTTGGCCTCCATAATATCTTACACAGTCAGCACTTTATATATTCATATTTATGATTTTATTGTTGTTAGTTCTTCAACATAATGTATTAATTCATTACATGGACTCAAATTTGGGAATGAACTTATTTTCTTCTATAATGTCATTATAGAAAGCCTTGAAAATCCTCTCAAAGAATCTACCCTGAACTACAGAGAGGAAAACTTAAATAGCATGTTTTTGTTGAGTCTTACTGTGACCTCCAAACATGAGTTAGAGCAGTATTTGTTAAGGTCCTAGACTGAACAAAGATATGAGAAGGCAGTGGGCAACAAATACTTGAAGTGTTGTTGTTTTGTGGAACTTTTTGTGTTTTATAGAAGAAGTAAAAATATCTGCAGATATTAATCCATCAGGATACAAACAGCTGCACCATGCATTTGCCACTAAGACATAAGTGAAGAAGTTGGGGGATACTTTTCAATGATTCATGTTTCTTTTTTGGGTTTCCCAAGAATGTAAGTATGGCATTCCAGTGTCATATATAGATTTAGAGAAATACTGTCTTTCAGATTTTCCATTTTTCTGTCATGGAAACTCAGAAATGCTCATAGGATTCATAACATAAAAGGTACACTGCAAAACTACAACTTTGCTGTAGTTCATCTGTTAGATGAATGGTTTTAATTAGGCAGCTTGAGGTGAGGACAAGTGTAGTTTTTTTCTCTTCTGGTTAGTTAACCAGGAGTAGCTGAAGTATGATAGGCCATGTGCCTTGATACTAAATTGTCTGTCTAAAATTAGGCATTTTACATTCTATAGCTTGAGGACAGGGTTTCAGTAGTTGTGGCATTCATCAAGTAGACATCAGGCGTGTAGGAGCTCTGTGGCAGTGAGTAATATTGCCTTGTGCACTTCTTACATGTTGTGTATTGTATATAATTTTAAAATATAATTTCCTGGATAAAATATTTGTTTTATGTTTTACTTTATTGTTGTCACTGCTATTTTCTTTAGTGTTTGTCAGTCTAGTGTATGGTAAACTTGGAGTTAAACAAGCTGCTATCCTAACTGCAAGTAATGTCATCAGGAAGCATGCAATTTCTTCATTAGTTAACTTTGTCAGATGTGATGTTTGATATTATTCTAATGTTTATTTTGTTTGATTTCTTGTAGGCTCTAGGTTGAAGATGGCATCATGCCTTTATGAATGCCTTTGTGAAGCAGAACTTGAAAAATACTTCCCCCACTTTGCTGCCTTTGGTCTTCAGAAAATTGATGAGCTTGCCAAAGTTTCCATGGAAGATTACACCAAACTGGGGGTCCATGATGTAAATGACCTCAAACGTCTTTTCCAGCTCATAAGAATAATCAAAATTATGCGACGAGAAGATGCTGCAGACTTAAGCAAGCAAGATTTTCAACCACATGGCCTTTTCATTCAGCCTCAGGTGACCAAGTCAGGACCCTATAGACAGCTGCGTTTTGAGTCCTTCTGTGAAGAAAATGATGGAACAGTTAAAGACTCTGAATCTGAATTGTATAATTTACCTGATTTCAGTGCCAATGAAAAGAAGGACAGTGTAGGGGAAATGCTGGGACACATTCCACCACATGATTCAGAGCCAATCAAATTAACTGGAAGAGACCTAAATATTCCTGGAATAGGTACAAAAGATGACCTGAGCTGTCCAACAGTTTCTGATGATATTGCTCATATCTGTATCAGGTAATAATCACTCACCTTTATTTTGCTAATAATTCAGATTAGTCATAATTGATTCTTTCTTAATTATGGAGTAGAATCTGTCTTGCTCACCTCCAAGTAAGAAATTCAAGCACTACAGAGCAATGCAAAGTCTTACAGACAAGAGAGCATTTGCAACTCTCCAGAAGGAATCATCTGAATTTGACCAGCTGCTACTCACCAAGGTTGTCTAAGAATAGTCTTTATTGTCTTTCAGGATTTAAGGCTTTTTTTTTCTTGGTATTTGAGCCAATCTTTGTCTTTCCATGGGACTATTTTTTAAAACATTATTTTTCCAAAATATGGCATTGCCTGTTGTTAAATTTGTCAAGCTTTTCTTGGTAAAAAGGATACAGGCTGTGATGGCTATATTTGTTCATAAAGAAATTTCTGAACTGAAGCTTTAAAAGGAAGCAGAATTAATACAGCTGGGAAGGGCTACAGACCTGGTGGTGAGAGGGATGCCTTGCAGCTGCTCCTTAGGCATGTGATCTGTAACTTCCATACTTTTCCCAGTGTTTGATACTGGATGGGCTGGGGTTATCATGAACCACTGGTAGATCTACCCTGGCAACATTTTTAAAGCACCAGATATTTTTTTTTCCTGATTCAGCAGCAGAGCACGTACGCCTCTGCACATGTAATACCAGTATCTAGCTTGTTGCAATGCAGTCATGGTAGTTAATATGCAATGAAAAGAGGTAGTTTTATGAAGTCAGGTCTGGTCTGGGAAGGCTGTGGGGAAAGATTTGGTACAGAGAAAGATCCGTGGAGTTGAGGTGTCAAATACAGCTCCCACCAAGACTGCATGTAGTCTGGAGGGATAGATGCTGCTGCCACGGTAGAAAAGTACTAAGGTGATGTAGTAAGTAAGTAGAGCACTTAAACTGTGAAAGATAAGACAAAGGTTTATAACTCTCCTTGACTGGAAAAAAAAAAATCATTCCCACCTTGTGGAGAAGTGCACTAGCTTCCAATATATATTGATACCTGGGTGCATTCTCTGTCTCTCCTGGAAGAGCCAATGTGCAGCTAAAAGGACAGGATTTATAATGTTGGCAAATTAAAAAATGATACATTATTAAAGCTAATGGCTCAAGTAAAGACATTAAAGATTTTTAATCCTGCAATAGAGACATGTTCTTCATTGTTCTCTCTTTCCTTGTTCTCTTCTTTTGTAAGCACATTCTTCTGTACCAAGCATTATGGCTCATCTTGTGGGTTTTCTGCATTCTCCTCCTTGATATGCCTCAACTTAATATTCTCATGTTTGGAGAGTTGTGCATTTCAGGCAGGCTTGGAGCAGCATGAGCAAACTCAGGTTTGTAATTCCTGTTTTGCAAGTGCTTAACTGCTTTGCTGAATCCATCCATTCCCATGTCACCTTGTGATCTGACCATTGTGAAGGCTTATCTAGTCTCATCTATGAGAAATATTGGAAAGCACAGACATGATTTCAGATAGCAGAAAGACAAAGAGCTCTTTTAATATGTTGAAATTTATTTTGAACTTGCGCACAGCAAGTAACTTGATTTTGCAAAGATGTAATTGTCCTTCTGACATTATTTAGTCAGATTTCTGATGATCTGTGTCATCGCTTTTGTTTGATTTTTTCCTAGTGATGAAAAATTATTTTATTATAAAATAAAAATTATATTTTAAAAGAGATGTAAGAAATACAAACTTTAGGTTCAGCATACATAATTAATATGCATTCTATTCCCATACAAAATATACTCAACAGAATGTGCCTCTGTACTAGAGAAAATTATTCATTTTTTCTCATTAATAGAGTCTCTAAATTTTCAATTTTTCTTTTCTCCAAATAATGCAATCCTTTCCACTTCAAGCTCTTAGAGCACAACAGGCTTTTGCTGCAGGTCACCAGCTACACACTCTGGCACAAGAATTAAACTTCAGCACGTCTGATCATTTGTTGGACAACATTTGGTGCCTAGTGATATGCCTAAGCTCACATCAGCTTATGAAGCATCTTATTTCAAGTGTCATTGCCTTTCTTTTCCAGCAAAAGAATTTTCCATCCAAATGCACAGCCTGATCCTGGACTGCATGGGAAAGCTGTACTAAAATTAAAGGGACTCTAGTGACAAGTAAAGATTGCTCATGTGTGGTCTTCAAAGACATATCTTGAAATTTAAGTCTGCATCTCATGTGCTTCTGGGGAATCATGGAACACAGCAGCAATGACGTCACATGCCTTTATGAGGTGTTAATGAGATGTTGAGTTACTTGTGGGTTACAATTTGTTAGACAACTGGTATATATATGTTTTCAGTTTCTGTGCTAAGAGATTTTGGCATCTGGACGGTGTGCCAGAAACACTGCTCTTGGGCAAGTTTGGGCTTGATTATTTGAAATGCAAATCCAGGCAGAAAATTGTTACTGACTTGGCTGAAGACAGCTTGAAGAAGGGAGAGATATATTGAATACACTTTGGTTAATTCAAGCCTATTCAATTAACAAAATGCTGTACGCAGCAGATTATTCAATGAAACATGAAATTACCTCCTATTTCCTCCTATTTTTAGTCTGGAACGGGACTAAAGTAAAATTGCTGAAACATAAGAGTGCAACTTTGTTTATGGTCTGAAACTACATAACCTTTTTATGAAAAAGGACCAAAGGGGAAACAAGGATGAGATCAGTATATAATTTTTTTTTTTTTTGACCTGAACAGGAACATGGTGATACTATCTCATTTGCCAGTTTGAGTCATTTACTTGTAACCAGTTGGACGGTCTATAATGGGAAGAAAAAGGTCAGCATTAGAGGAAAAGCAACTAAGTATTGTATATTTTCCTTTTCAAGATCTATTCACACTTTCATTGCACATGATTAAGTGACTGATCATGAGTGCAAATAATTTCAGCAAGATTTAATTTCAGTACATTAACTTGGATATTATGCCAGCTTCCATCTCATGTTTGTGTGCAACTGAAAATATGTCGTTCGGCAGCAAGTTCAGGAGTGTAGCTGTACAAACATAACTATTCCTTTAACAGAAGTCTACAGGAAGCACCAGTCTGTTTAGGTAAAAGCATCAGAAACTGCATAATGAAAAAATGAGGTATGTTATGGAGTTTTTTGATAGGCATTAACAGCAGAAACATTCTGTGATAAATGTAACAAATTCAAGCATATTCTAGATGCTCTTGTAACCTGATTTTAAATGTGGACCTCCGTTATTGGTTGTAGCTCCAATACTTTCGACAAAGAGACTCCATGGACAGAGAGTGAAAAAATCAGAGTGTGTGTCCGAAAACGTCCTCTCTGCCAGAGGGAGGAGAGACATGGGGAGTCTAATATAATCACAGTGGAAGATAAGGAAACCCTAATTCTCCACCAGAAGAAGGAGGCAGTTGATCTTACACAATACATTTTACAGGTAACATCCTCCATTGAAGGTTGTGCTTATGGGCCAGTCACTTGCATGGAAGCGTAGAGTTTATTGTGCCTGGAGTTTCCATGAGAGAAAACAGAAAAGGACTCTTAGTGTTTCTTACACTGAAATAGGTGGTGAGCTTTTGTTTTATCTCAGAGTTGTCTATATTTGAGTTGCTTTGAGTTGATTTATGCCAGACTGTGCCAGCAAAACCGAGCCCAGAATTTTAAGATCTAGAGCTATGTCTCTTGCAACTTTCTTTGTATGTGGCAAAATAAATCCTCTGCTACATGCCATTGCTGCAGGAGAAATCCCTGCTGATGGCTTTCCAGAGTGAGGAGTTTCCCTTTCCACTGTTTAAGCACTGTGGATCTGTTTCAATGAATCATACACACCCTCATCCCCTCCCTTCCATTTTTCTCAAAAGCTTTGGAAAATTAAGTTCCCGTTTGTCTTTGTCTCTTAATCCCAAATACTTTGTGCTGTCATAGTTCAAATTCTCACGTGTGATTGACAGCACCAGGAACAGAACTGATTTGTAGAGGCAGCAAGCTATTCTTGTTGTGCTGAGTGTTATTTTTACAACTGGGGCCCTAGGAACAACTGTTTGGAGTATCTGGTAAAATTTCAGATATCTCTCAGACCCAGTTCATGTGCCACCTTTTACAGTGAGACACATGCTGAATCATTTCCACAGACCCTGCTTTTTTGAGTCTGATCTGGAGTGTGGGAAGTTTTGATTTTCTTGCCCCCTTTTGAGTTCAGACAATGTAGCTTTGCTTAGGAACAGCTTGTTCCTTCTTTGGCACAAAACTTTTTAATAACAGAGGCGATGAATAACACTTAAGTCACAAATAAGAACTAATTTTGAGAAAGTCAAGAGTTGACTCAGTTCATTTTACTGTTAGAGTCTGACAGTACATCTGTAGGCTAATTCATTTAATGAATATGTTTTCTTTAATTAGGTTTTTTTTGGGTTTTTTTTTTTTTTTTTTTTTTTTTTTTTTTTTTTTTTTTTTTTTTTTTTTTTTTTTTTTTTTTTTTGTTAAAAGGCTCTGGTATGTTATGTTTCAGAATTATGGGAAATTGATGCATTTTTGTTTCCTTCTCCCCCCCCACCCGCCCCCACCCCTACCCTGAATCTCTTGACTGGTGTGTTCCTACCTGAGTTGTGTTGCATATTAAGTGTGCTAGATCACTCTCTACCTAATCCAAAACCATGTGAAGTCACTGGAAAGACTTCTGTTATTTCATTTTATCTTTGAATGGAATTGGAGGGGAAGTGAAACCTATTCATTCTCATGTAAAGATTATCTTTGTTTTTCAGCATGTTTTTTATTTTGATGAAGTCTTTGAGGAGACATGTACCAATGAGGATGTGTATATGAAGACAGCTTATCCTCTCATTCAGCATATTTTTAATGGGTAGGGCATTCAGCACTTACACTGGTTATTTTTTGTTTTGTTGTTTTCCAATTTTATGTGTATGCCTGAACTTTCCTTAATGCTTTTGATCTGAAACGTATCTTCATTTCACTTTTGCCACATGCCTTTCCCCTTTCAGAACATCTTTCATTGCAATTTTTACAAAAATAAATCAGGAAAAGCTTTCTTCACACTAGGTGACTAATCTCAATTACAGAAGAAAGTTAAATTGAACCTCAGTAGCAACAAATTGATAACATGATCAGCCTACAATAAGCATGTATCCCAGGATTTCTGAGTTTTCATCTTCACTCTAACAAAGGCTCCTGTGTGGCAGAGCACACTCATCTGTAGAGAAATAATATTACTTTTCTTTCCTGAGACTACTGAGAGATATTTTACATGTATTTTTACAATCTGGGCCCTAGGAACAACTGTTTGGAGTATCTGGTAAAATTTCAGATATCTCTTGGACCCAGTTCATGTGCCACCTTTTACAGTGGGGACATGCTGAATCAGTTCCACAAACCCAGCTTTTGCACAGTTCACAAGGCAATAGAAATGATGAATAACCTTGTGATTTATTTTTATTGATTTATATTTGCTTAGAGGTTTAATTGTAATTACATAGTTCCTGATTAATGGGAAATTTATGGTAGCTTTACAGGAGACATCTTATCTCTATGCGAGGCCATATATATTGAATACATACTTTAATATAATTACTTTTTTGAGTCTTTGAAGGAAAATATTACTTATCCATGCTAAAAATTAACAAAATTGAGTATTCTGTTACTGAAAATCTCCAAGTATCATCAATGGAGACAGAGTACCATGCTCTTGAGAAAAGGAAAGTGAGAAAGGAGAATGAGGCTTGCACTTTGCTGTGTAATAATCACAAAAGCCACAATTCACATTACTGCTAGTCCAGTAATGCCACGAGAAGAGATTATGCTTTTTTTTTTCCCCAGCTTTCCCCTTACTTTTCCATTCCTCCTGCTGGCATTTATTTAATCTGACACCATGGTGAGGCCAGTCTAGAATCTAAACTGGCAAGGAATTGTTCACTGTGATTACTGCAGCCATCCATTTTTACTCATTCCTCCGCCAGGAGTACTGAATCAGGTACAAAGTCTTTTTATTGAGGGCGGCAGGGAAAGGAAAAGAAAGGATGAGAGCCAGCACCCTGTGCCATATCAGATCTCCACAGGGTATACTTGGAAATCAATGTTAAGCATTCTGTAGTTTCCCAGAGAGGATAGCAGACCAAACCGCTTTGCTAAGGGGCCACTATAGATAGATACCAGCACTGCAGAATATTATTTAATAGATATGAATTAATCAGATGTGGCACTAAACACTATACTGTCTTCACAGAGGCAATGCAACTTGCTTTGCATACGGACAGACTGGTGCTGGCAAGACTTACACCATGATAGGGACTCACCAGAACCCAGGACTCTATGCCCTGGCTGCCCAGGACATCTTCAGGCACCTGGAAGCATCACCATCCAGGAAAGATCTTATTGTTCTGATCAGTTTTTATGAGATCTACTGCAGACAGCTTTATGACCTGCTAAATGGAAGGAAAAGGTATTTAAGAAAAAATATTATTCCCTACTAGCCTGCGGGTTGAATCAATTGGTTACTGTTTGGAAATCAATTACTGCTTTCATGCAATTACATTTAACATACTAGCATTTACAGCAACTGTTACATATTTAATTAGGGTCATTCACATGAGATACTTAGGGAGGATAGCAAGATCTGACAGTTGATTTTGTGACATTGGTAGGGACTCCTGGTTTGTTGTTTGGGCGAAAAATAAGGACTTAGGTTTGAGATACAAGCTCAGTCTCTTGCTTACACTGTAATAAGATAATAGCTGGACATCCATAGGTAGAGAAACAAGCTTCTTGTGGCCAGAAGTTCCTGTCTTAAAATCATAGAATATTTTGAGAAGGAACCGTAAAGATTATCTTGTTCCACCTCTACTGCCCTGGGCAGGGACAACTTCCACTAGACCAGGTTGCTCAGAACCCCATCCAACCTGGCCTTGAATGTTTTTGGGCATGGGACATCCACAACTAGTTTGGACAGCCTGTCATGTGTCAACCATTGTGGAGTCCTTGTCTTTCCCTGATCAAGCATAAATCTGGAGGAGGCTGTTCCTCCTGCTGTGCCAGTGGGGATTTGACTCTTGCCAATCCAGCCTCTGAAGATCCTACATGCTTGATCTCCTACATGCTTGACTCTGCAGAACTTGCTCACCTTCTCCCTGGGCACCTTCACCTGACAGCCCACTGACTCAGCCCAGCAAGCCTCTGGAGGGGATGCTGAAATATGATTCTAAGGCTGTAGGAGTTGTGCAAAAATGTTTTAAATGCTGTGCAAAAACCCTTAGAATACAAATAGAACAAAATTTACAGTTGGATGAGGACTTAGAGGAGCCTGAGATGTAGTTTAAAGGGAGACAGTTACTCTAAAATGTAAATGTGCTAATTTACTTCTCCGCCTTATTGTATTCTTAAACTAGCAGAAATGCACTGCTAATGTCTCTTTAGCAGTGAAATGTCAGTGGTACTTGTTATAAATTAGGTATTTCTTCAGCTCTGAAAATGAATCACAGCAGGGTCTCTCTCCTGACAGTAGCCTTGACTGCTTTTTCTCAGTGTCACAGCACAGACGTGTTTTCATTGCTGCTTTCTAAGATTTCAGATACCTCCTTTTTGCACTATTCTCTTGTCAGGCTTTTTGCAAGAGAAGATGGCAAGCACGTTGTTCAGATAGCTGGACTCCAGGAGGTTCGGGTGGATTCCGTAGATCAGCTGTTGGAGGTAATGTTTGAGATTCATTCCTTGTCTTCTGCAGCCCAATTTGTTTATTTGTGAGGTGTGTCACTTGCAGAGGTTATTTATTGTGTATGTTCCTGTTTAAGGCCCTAAAATTGGCAATCCCAGCAGGGCACCAAGGGGCTCTATTCATTGTGGCCCCTTCAATTCAGAAGTGCCTTTATTTATTGAGTTGTTTCTTGTGTTAGCCACATGCAAGTAGTTGATTCACAGCTGTCACTTCTGCTGCCATTCCATAGGGAAAGATCCTAGAAGCTAAATAGTGTCCCAGTAAGGGACCTTGAAAGCTGGATATGTATTTTCCCCCAGTGTGGTGTGTCTTGTGGTTCTATTAACTTAGATTTTTGTATATAAAAGATATGTGGTTTTGGCACAGAATATAAAATTTGAAAATTATTAGAAACACAAATTAGAACATACTTAAGATTGAGATATTTGGTCTGAATTAGGATTAAAATACTGCTTACATGTGTGCATGACAATAACCCAAGTAAAATTCAGATCTTTAAAGAGTAGCTCACATTTGCCAAGAACAATGTTTCAGTTTTCTTCTCTACCTGGCTGAGCCCAGAAAGGCAGAAAGGACACTGGCAAATTTTTTGTATTTTCCTGCAACAAGCAAGCTGATTAAATCTACTTTCTATTTACCCTGACTTTGCACAATTTAAATCTTTTTTTTTTTTTTTTTTTTTTGGTAAGGAAGTGTTAATTACAAGTGCCTGATACTGTGGCCCATTAAAATTGTCATAGTGTTGTCCACTGATATTGCGCTTAATTTAGTTGTTCATCTTCCCATTAACTCCAAGCTTTAGGACAAGCTGGTGATGCTTCTGCTAGTTGGAGTGCAAATTTACTATATGGTTGATGTACAGTTCCTTGGTATTATCACATTCCACTCACAGAAGAGCTATTAAATTACTTAATTGTTACAGAGATCCTGGGGGGAAAATACATTGTCCACAGGCCCTTTTGAACACAGAAATGTCACTGGCTTGGCTCACAACTTCTGAGTGCTCTGCAACAGATATATGGAAAGAGCTTTGAACACATCCTTGGTTATTCACTATTATTGATGTTGGCTTTGATTCAGAAATTATCTTTGCTTAACACTGATATAAAGCTCAGAAGCTGCAGTGGGTGGTTATGTTGCTCATTGAGAACTGGCCCCTGAAAAGGATGAATTATTCACATCTATCATCTGAGAATGTATTGATTTTGCTAGGCAATATTCTGATTTGTTCCTGCAACCAGAAGCAAAATTAATGGCTTTTCTATGAATGCTCTGCTGCAGTCAATGTTAGACTTTGTGCAACAGTCCTTTAAAGTTTTCCAAAAAGAGTTATCCAGATTTATATCTTGAAGGAGCCTTTGTCCTTCTGCCTTGCCTTCCTTCCTTGTTTTCTTATTTTACTGTTTTATTGAGTATAATTAATCTTCTAAGTTTGTTCCTTACTCTGGCATAATTTTTTATTTTTTTAGTTTTGGAAATTTAGAAAGGTTTTGGCAGTTTATAACTTTTTGTGTGACTTTCTGGATAACTGTATTCACCTACTACAAGACAAAGTAAAATGTTAAAAGAACAAAATAAATGAGCGATATCCTAAGTCTCTTGGATTGCATCTATAATACTACAAAAGTATGCCAGCAATATAAGCAAGAATTTAATTTTATAATTTGGATATTTTGCAAATATGAGTGAGTGCGTGATGCAACAGATTGTTACATGCAGTTTGCTCTTTTGTTAGAACCCCAGCCTTATTCTGGGTTCCCATGTGGTGGTGAAATTCTTCCTCCAACCCATGCTTCTAAAGAAAAACTCCGCAGGCTTTTGCTGTTTGGTCTCAAGGCAGTTTATTGTGAGCTATCTAAAAGATTGTCTTCTCGGGCTGCGGCTGTTTGGTCAGCAGCCTGGGCAGAGGCACACACACACCCTGACATCCTCTCTGTCTGCTGTTTTCTTCTTCTTTCCCCCCGCCCAGGGCTGCTGCTATCTTTTATATGATATATTACGTATTACATGTTTATAGTTTTCCCTTAATACTTACTACCTATATTACAAAGTGCTTTTCTACTCTAAACCAATATGTGAGTGTCAACATCACCAAGAACATGGAGGCAAGGTAGAAGAAGGAGGAAGAACAGGATTAGCCCACTTTCCTCTATCTTAGAACTTTTGACCCCTATGTATAAAGTAAAACTTCCCCTGTATAAGTGTTAAAACCCCCCTGTACAATACTAAAAAAATTTCCCTTCTATTTTGTAACTACTTTTACTATACTATCTAACCTTTTGTGACTGCTTGTTCCACTTCCAAAGTTGGTAACTCATTCCATGGCTCAAACTCAAAATCACAGCTGTTTCCAGCTGCCTGCTGGGGTCTAAAATGCTTCTGACTAAGGCCTGGAACCTCTAAAAATGTCTGAGAGACATTTTGAGTTCCGACACTCTTTAAGCTCTGTGATGCTTCACTACAAGTAAGTCCATGCACAAAGCTCTGAAAGAAATATTGGAGGGGATCCAGTCTACCTCTACTGCCTTGCACCAAATCTTAAGGCTGTAATACACCTTTCCTCACAATGTTTACTCACCTTAGGAGAACAAGATCTCTTTCTGAAAGACTGTGATTTCATTTACAATTCTTTTGGATTTTGTCCCCCTTATTTTGCAGGTGATTTTGAAGGGGGGAAAAGAACGTAGCACAGGAACTACTGCAGTCAACTCAGATTCCTCTCGGTCTCATGCTATCATCCAAATTCAAATTAAAGACACGGCCAACAGGGCATTTGGAAGGTAAGACCAGAAGCAGAAGTGCACAGTGCTGATGTCAAGCCCAGGGACATCCAAGAGACAAAGAGGAGGTGTTAGTGCACAGGTGTGAGCTAAATTAGAAGACAGAGTTAAAGGGGACTTCAGAAAGTTCCACAGTCCTTTCTCTATTAGGCACATCTGCAAGAACTTTGTCAAAATTGTTCATACAAATTGCCAGCAAAAGAGTTTGACAATCATTAGCTACAACACTGTCTTCTTTCCCAGGATCTAATTTTGAACATAAGGCAAAATGGAAGAGCCACAAACACTGAAGAGAGGAAAAGACAGAACAGGCAGGCTTAGAAATAAAAGTATAGAGGTTTCTGTAGTTGTGGCATCTGAACTGGGGTGGGTTTGTGTGTCTAAAAGGGAGGGGGAGCTGAACTGAGGGAAGGATGCCAAGATGTGCCTATAAAAGAAGTCAGGGCTGTTGCAGAAAAAGAGGAAGGACAAAGACAAAGATACAGTGCAACAGTGAGTAGTGCAGCTGGCACCCAGAGCTAGAGAGTGTGAAAGGGAATAATAGAGTTTTGTGGAAAGAAACAACAGGGATCACTGAAAGCTCAGCGTATTACTTTCTACACTGGAAATTTCTCTTCCTATTGTCTTGACTTCCCATTTGATGTTAACAAACAGCAGTTATCTGTTTTACCTGGGAGGAGAAATCAAAACACTTACAATTCCTTTTAGCCCTGTTCTTAGGAAACTACAAACAGTGATTATCTGGAGAGATGAATGTGTTGTACTTTACACAGCTTATCCATTAAACTGTAGAGCACTGTCATCACATGTAACTACACTTTCTATTATTTAATGTTAAGATGCTTTGACATGGTTTCTGCTGCTATGGTTATTTTGGTGTCTCAGGTATTCCCAGTGGATGTTTCTTGTTGTTCAAAAGTAGTCATTTCTAATCACTCTTCTGATGCCATATGTTGCAGCCTGCTGGTTTAATAAAGAAAAAAATAAGATGGAAAAAAGCCCCTAAGATAACTGCAACTTTGTTTCTTCTAGGATATCATTCATTGACTTGGCTGGCAGTGAAAGGGCAGCTGATGCCAAAGACACGGATCGACAAACAAAAATGGAAGGAGTAGAAATAAACCAAAGTCTTTTGGCCGTAAGCTACTATTATGTCTAGGGAATGTTTTGAATTCAGCTACTAGCATGTGTTTTAGGATAAAAATGAACCACAGAATAATGAATGTATGCATTCCATGGAGAGGAAAAAATAACCAAGGTACTATGTGCGTTCAGTTTAATTTGTCTGAAAAGTGACTGAAAAACAATTTAAGAAGGAAGAGATACCATTTTGAAAATTAAGTATTTTTAATCCATTCTTACTGCCAGACAGGTAAACACAGCATGGAAAATGTTATGTGTAGTATAAGTGTCCCATATTTTATATAGAAGGTTTTGTCCCTTCTAAAGAATACTGGCTTGGAATTGCCATGTTTGTTTCATAAAACCTGCCAGTTATTTTTACCACTTAAACTTAAATTTCCATTTCAAATTAGGAATAAAGTGCTTAGGAGCATAAAAACTATCAATTTATATGTGTGAAGGAAAGAACAGGAATGCACTCCTGAGGCAAACTGTCTTGATAAGTGTTCACAGTAAGGCAAAGAGGGACAAAGGAGCAGAAAAATGCCATCTACAATAAAGCAGAAGTGCCTGTAAGTGTAAATGCTGCAGAAAGGTTTGCACCTCCTGTAATGCAAACAAGCAAAGCTCAGTGGTGACTGGGGGCTTCTCTAAGTGAGGCTGTAGGTGATACAGATTCCAGGGTATGAGCCAGCAGTGCAGAAGTCTGCACAGAACTGTACCTCTTAGTGTGCTGTAAATAGGAGGTGGCTTGCTCTGCTTTGGAAATGTAGATGCTCTTTTGCGCAGAGGCTTTTCCTACACTGGAATATTTAGTATTTGTGCTGGGGAGGTGGCCTGTGAAGTGAATGTGTTTCTGTACTTCATGCTTTCTTGAGTACTTGCTTGTGAATAACTGAGTGTCACAGGGAGTTGGTACCTGAATAGAAAGAAGTCTGATCTTGAAAGTCTTCTCCAGCCTAAACAATTCTGTGATTCCTGAGAATCCTGAGTATAAGCCCATGAAGTTCTTTTAAAAGAAACTCTAAAATCAGAGTCTGTACATTTTTGGTATTGTGAAACTAAGAAGATACTTGGACAACCTACAAGTAGTGACTGAATTAAATATAAAAAGCATCTTGGGTAAATCTTCATAACCTGTAGCCTGTAAAACCTAGCTCTGGTCTCAATGATCATAACACTCTGTTCATAACACTCATGATCATAACACTCTCTTTTAACCCATGAGATCTGAAGTCTGCTGCTGGTTTGAATATTCATGTTGTTTTCAAGTGTAAGACTTTTAGACACATAAGAGAGCTCAAAAAGCTCTGTCCTTTGGGTACACCTGCCCTGCAAGCTGCAGTATAGTCTAGGCTACATCCAGTCTGGCTTCAAGACTAGCTAGATGTAGTGCAGGCAGCACCTCTGTGGAGCTCCACGTGTGCTAAATGTGTGTGCTGACCCAGCTCCTTGCATTTGGTGCAGCCCACAGAACCATCAAGCAGGGCACAAATTGACCTTGCAAGGGACAACACATAGTAGGAATCAAAGTGACACAGGACCTGGGTAGGTTCCTTTTGATGCTTTTCAGTTCCTTGCCATTGCATGATTGATGTGTTTTTTTCCCTCTGTTTTTTCTTTTTTTGGTAGCTAAAGGAATGCATTCGGGCACTGGATCAGGAACATACACATACTCCTTTCCGGCAGAGCACGTTAACTCAGGTAAAATGAGCAGAAAGGCAAGAGGAGAGGTTTCCCTGCTGAGGACCAAAATAAGAAAAAAATCAAATAAATAAATGTCATAGTTCAGTAACTGCTTCCTTTCTTGAGGAAGAAAGATTTTGAAATGCATAGTTTTTGTAAATTTTAATTTTAAAGGTAATCACAGAGTTAAGCCAACTGCCAATTTCCTCCAGCCAGCAACGGGGACTGCCATGGGAAAAAAAGAAACAAGCCAAGAGCTGAAACCAAACAAAACCCCAAACACCACCTTCCAGACTCATACAGAGTTACCATTCATCTCCCCACAGTCTGAAACTAATCTTGCATCTTCTGTTCAGTTACTGTCTTGGGAGCTTTCATCAATATTTCTTGACTTCAGCTGTTAACATCTGCTTTATACCTCAAACCATATTGGCACCCTTGAGGCATCTGGAACAAGGACTCATTTAGAGTCCTAATTAATACTTGTATTCATTTTAAACTGTAAACAAATAAAGGCAAGAAAAACTGAGACAAGAGGACTACATTTATCCAAAAATATTAAAAAGCACTACCTCATGTTGAATTTCTTTTGCAGCTGTTGCTAGTTTACAGGATGTGTGAGGGACATGAACTGCTAAGAGCCCAATTGTTTTTTTCTTCAAACCCTAGGTGCTAAAAGACTCTTTCATTGGCAATTCCAAGACATGTATGATAGCTAATGTTTCACCGAGTCATGTAGCTACAGAGCACACCCTGAACACTCTGCGATATGCTGACAGGTAGGAGGTGAAACTCGGTTCTTGCTAGGATGAAAATCTGTTACATTTGACTATACTTACATTGCAAATGTCTATTTAGGCAAGAAACAGAATCTTTAAAAAGCTAATAAAATTGTTACCTATCCCAACTCTTATACTTTGTCTTAAATTTTTGTGGGTCTTGTAAGTACTTTCTGATGACCACTTTCAGAGATTAAAAGATCACTGTGTGCCCTGTAACTGCAGGATTACTGACCTTAGCAATCAAAGTTTTGATTTAGTTTTGTATTTTAATTCTACTTAGAATGTGTGCGAGGACTTTGCCCTCCCTCCTACAGAGCAGGAAGTAAATTACAGGCTGTGCAATGCTGGTTTTAAAAGGACAAGAGATAACTTGAGGGGCAATTGGAACAGAGGGAGCAACTAAAGGTCAGGGTGGTAGGGGAAAGGGTGATATCAGTTAATCAGCTCTTCACAGCTGCACTGCTGAGTCTGATCCAGGAGCAGACTCACCTGAGCTAAGGAACCCTACTGCAATTATTTGAAAAGTCCTACATTGAGCCTTGTGGGACCCTGCAATGTGCTGTGGAGAATACCAGCTTGTTCTGCTGCATTGTAATGTGTGGAAATGCCACTCCCTTGCACTAAAACTGAGGTCATTTCCACTCACTTGTCCTGTTATGCACTGCTCAAGGAAGCACTTAAAAAGACTGCTACAGATTTTTCCAAAAGTCCAGGCATTTTGGCAGAAGAGTTTTGATACCTGTGAAGATCACAGAAAAGAAACGATGATGCTGAATTCAATATTTAGTCTTAGTATGTGAAAGCATTGATTTGTTCTGAAGATGCTGTTATTTATCTGAAAGCATGACATTTTCTAAATCCACCTTCTTTTTTACAGGGTCAAAGAGCTGAAGAAAGGGATTAAATATCCTGCCCCTGTCACAAAAAGGCATCACAGAGCTGGAAATATATCTCCAAAACGTGTCCAAACCACTCTCTCTTTGCCATCTGGGGAAAAGAGCTCTCCAAAGCAAGCGAAGCTAGGCCTACAGCATCCCTCAAGTGCTACAAAAGGAAGGGCATATCCTGCAGTACTCCAACCACCTGGTGTGCCTCTTACCTCTACCCCCAAGGGAACTGACAAAGGACATGCCTACAAAGGAACCAGAACTCCCTGCTTCCGCCACACCACCCCAGTTAAGGGAGTCCTACGTATAACACATCCCCTGAAGAAAAATGATCTATCCCCCCACTCTGAAAAGAGCCCCACAGTGAAGGATTTCATTGCCACAGCAGAAACGGAAGAAAGTGGCCAACAAGACAAGTATATGCAAAACAGAACACCTGTCCAGTACCTGAAAGTCCAGACAGTGCAACCTCTTCAGAGACAACTTGTTCCTAGGGAAGATAATTCCTTTGGAGTTGGCAACCTGCCCTCTGACAGCGAACAGGAATGGGGAAATACTTTTGCTAAACAGTCTGTCGGACCCTGGGCATATCTGCCTCCATATCAGAAGGAAAGGGAAGAGCATTTACGTCTTTATCACCAGCAGCTTCAGCAGCCCCCTATTCTAAAGCAAAAATTGAACTATCAACCCCTTGAGAGGTTTTTAATGCAGTACAAGCCCGAGGAGATTCAAGTGAAGCCAGAGCCGAGCCTTACTCTAACTGAAGTGCAGAGCAAAGAGTGGGTACAGCAGGAAGATGTGGATGACAGTGATTTCAGTGAAGATTCTTTCTCACCTGTCTGTAGTCAAAAGAGTGTGAAAAGAAGAAATAGCAACAAATCCAGTCCACATTCATTTTTCCTTCATGAAAGAGAGCAAGGAACTGAAGAAGAGCAAAAGTACAAGTCCAAACACAGACGTCTTGTTTACTCCAGTGAAGCCACCTTAACTCCAGAAAAGAATGCTTCAACCCCATGTGTATCTCCTGTATTGAAATCAGGAACTCCAGAGTGCAAAGAGTTTGATCTCCAGCATGAGGAGAAGGAAGAATCCACTTTGGATAAAGAGGCTGCCCTTGCAGGAGGAGGTGTAAAATGGAAAGCTCGAAAAAATGGAGTTAGCCACTCTGTTTCTTCCAGTGATTCCTCAGAATTCACCTCTGAGCTCATGGCCCCACTCCTTGTGTTGCCTCTTGATGGTGAGGACACAAGTGAAACAGAGAAAGCACCTTCCAACCAAGAGAAGCCCCACCACAAAAAGCAGGTGCTGGACAGTGATGCCCATAGCAGGTTTGGGGACGAGGGCTGGCAGTGCACCAGGAGCAGATCTCTGACCGACAGCATGCTGGGTCTGTGGGACGAGCCCCAGCACAGGGAAAGGCTCTGTGTCCTGCTGGGCTCCTCTCAAGTCACACACAAGAAGCGCCCATCCACCTGTGGCCGTGTGAAGCCATGCTGCGGCCACCCGGGATCAGTTTTGTCCAAGCAGGGAGTCCGGCACAGTTCATTTGTTGGACATGACCTGACAGAAACATCCACAGCTGGATCCACAGCTGGATCTGCCATCCCCAGGCCAGAGAGAGAGGGTGGGGGGCTTTGCAGTGACTCCCCCTTCAAAGAACACTCGGGAGGCAGACAATGTGGTGCTGATATTAATCAGCATAACAATGCTGGTAATGCAGGGAAGTCTAACTCAAGTAAAGGGTCCCGTGCTGAGGAAATAAATGCTGAAATACCTGAAAAGAGCTATGCATCCCAGTCCCTCTCTCAGGACAGCAGCTGGCTGCTGCATCCCAAGCCAGAACTGAGCAATGAGGACCTCACCCATACTGAAGACCCTTCCAAGTCATCCTTTGGCAATGAAGAAACATTGTTGCTAAAAAGGAAGTTAAAGCAGAGTATTTTTACACTAGAGACTTTTGCTGCAGATGCAGGATTTGCAACCAAAGATAATAAGCCAATAGCAAATGCAAAATGCCCCTCACACATGTCCAGGAGCAGTTCTCCAAGTGCTGCATCCAAGATGGGGAAAGGAAAATGGCAGAGGGAAGCCCTAGAAAAGACACAGTAAGTCTTGCTCATCATGAAGTTTGTAGTAAAGCTTAGAAAATCTGGACATGTGATACACTTGCCTTTATGCATATGTCATACTCATATGTACTTCAAAAACCAGTGGTTAATCATTCTATTAAATAATTACAAGATTAATCATAATTTGTAGTAATTATCTTAAAAATATTTAGTTGCTTGTTATTTAGTGATATTTTAAGACCTCACAGGAAGCCAATTATATTAGAGCTTCTAGGATAATGCTAGAGGAATAAATATTCTAATACAAACTGCAGTTCTCAGTAATTAATTGGCTTACTATAAGCTGTAAAGTACCTAAAATATATCAAAACCTTCCATCAAGAATCAGCTGTTCTATCAATGAAAAGAAAAGCTGCTAGAGCAGCTGAGCAGTCACTGAAGATGTAGATATAAAGCTTCTGAGTACTCTGAGCTGCCATTGTCAGCTCCCAGGGACTGGACTGCATTATTTTGACTGAAAGGACATTGTTAGTGAGTGAAACTTGCTCAGAGGAATCAACAGCAGCACTGCCTTCCTGCTCAGCCTGTTGCTCACTGGAATTACTTACAGACTCATGGCTATAAACCATTTCACCTCTTAATTATGCAATTGTACTCCTTGATTCTCCTACAGTGAAAAGCAGTTGTGTGCTGCCTGGGCTAAGGGCAGGCTGTGGCCACTCCTCTGTGAGCAGCCCGCAGTCACCCAGCTCATCCTGAAGCCCACACCAGTGCAGTCCACTACACTTCATGGAGCACTGGTGTGCCCTTCCCGAGTAGCAGGGACACAGGATAGCAAGGCTTCCTCTGGCATTTTCCTCTTTCTTGAAGGTTTATTGAGGCCAGCTGTGACTACAAGCAGTGATTACACTACAAACTGTGTAACCAGTGTGTGTTTTTGTTAATCAGAGAGACTGTAATTCGTGCTCATTGGCAGCACTCGGATGAAATGGCAGAGCTGTGCTTGAAAGAGGAGTGCTTGATAGATCAGATGTCAGAAATGGTAAGTATTTCAGATTATGGTTTTGGAGCCTGCATAATTTAATCTTAGAGATTATTAACATGAATTGCTGATGTGATGTTCCTTGTCTGTTGAAGCCCTTTCTTAGTCCTGGGAGAGGTCTGTAATTTTCAGTGTATTGTGTCTGCCAGTCTCCAGTCTGACAGGCCCTTGGGAAGCAGGATATGAATGGGCCAACCCTGACACCCTTGTCTCTGATAAGAGAGCCTTCCCTTATCTCGCATCACAGGGCAAACTGTACAAGACAGGCCATGTGTCCCTGTCATGTTTTAGTTCTTGCAGGCTGGGACAAGTAAGCCAACACCACAGAACAGAGCACACCCCTAGAGCAGGATGGATGGAATTTGGCTCTTCCCTCTGGGAGCCTCTTTGCCTATCACACTGCAGGTGTGCCAGCAACCTGGGCCTCTCTTACTCCAGTGTTCTGACCACTGTGGCTTGTGCCTCACACACGCTTGGCTTTGGTTACTCAAGTGTTTCTTGGCTTCTCTTTGCCTCAGATGACAGTGGTGTACCCCAGACCTAAAAACTGGCAGCTGCATGGCCCCACTGCTAGCTAGGTAATCCCAGTTCTTTGTTTCTCCTTTCATCTATCCCAACAGATGCATGTCACACCTATGTGAAAATCCAGACTATGAACATTTTCCAGTAAGAACTCCTGCCTTCCCCATTCTCTCACCTTCTCAGTAAAGCCAAGCTCCATTGCTGCATTGAATTATCAAACCATTCAATTCCTGAAATCACAGTTCAGATCTGAAGAACAGGGACCCTTCCCTCAGGGACTTTGGAGTGGGGCCACCATGTGGCTTCTTCACTCATTTCAAGCTGCATATGCTGTTTTACAGATAACACACAGTTCACAAAGCAGCACAAGAGACTGTTTTAGTTTTGTGGCAGACAGTGCAGTGAAACAAAGCTATCTTTCATCTTCTGAATTTTTTTCATCTTCTGAGATTGTTCTTAAGTCTGTTGGTCACTGGACACCAGCTCTACTCCCACATTTATTTGCCCCTTGCAGCAAGCAGTTATTTCTGGCTAGCAAAATTCTTACAAGCTTGCCAGGCCTTCCAGCAGTGCATGAATAACATACCCTGTAGTTTTATTTCACAGCATGGCCTTTCTAAGGTAGTGAAATGTGCTTGGGCTTCATGCATCAGCTTCTGTCCTTTCATTTGAGATGGTTTCAACTTCTTCAGCCATGAAACTTTGGCTGCAGGAGAAACTCCTGCCAAGACCAGCCACACACTGAACAAAGCAATATTTAGAGTGCTTAAGAAAAATGTGCCACAGCAGCTGGGCTAGTCTTCATCACTGTCCTGATTTCCCTGCAGGAGAGAGATAATGCAGGGAAATCACTGCATACACCTGGAGATCACTGAGATACAGCTGGAGTACTGCCAAATAAGCTTTTGCATGATTGATTTTCATACACAGCAGCTGAATTTCCCAGCCCTGGGGATGCTGACACCTCCCAGCTTCTGAGGCCCAGGCCTGTGAACAAAGGCACCAAACTACTCTCAGCTGGAGTGCATGTCCAAGTGCTCCCTTATTAATACAAGCCCTACTTAAAAAGGATCAAAATTCCCATTTTATTGGGAGTTCCAGTTCCACACTGGTTTTTGTCCATGTGGCTATGGAAGGTGGAGTTCCCTGGACAGAGGCAGGATACAATGCTGATATTGCTCATGGCCTGCAGCCATGGCCCCATGACCTGATGGAAAAGAAATCCCTTGCATGTCTCAAGATTGGGCTCACTCACCCTTTATTTTCCTAATTGATAAGTCCAGCATGAGAGGTGTCAGGAACAGACTTCTGCACATGGTAAAACCAGGTGACCAGTCCCAGTACCAAACCTTAGAAAAGCTAACCAGAGTAGAAAAGCAACAACAGCTGCTTTATTTTTGTTTTTAAGCCACTACATGAGCTGTAATTTCACCAACACACAAACCTACCAGAGTCAGTGAACCTTGCTATTTAGAAGCACTGACCTTTGTCTGTGAGGGCTGTGACTTTAATAAGGAAATGCTGATTTAATCTACCAGTCTGCAGAATGCTTTTACATTCTGCTGCAGTGTAAAAAATATGCTGATGTTTTCAACCTGCTGATACTGTTCCCTACTGCTTCTTTGTGCCTTCCTCACCAGGATTTTCAGGATTTCATGACAATACTGGATGAAACCTTGGTGCTGAAGTTAGAGTCTGTCCAAAAAATGCGAGCCTTGCTTCAGTTTTGTTCAGCCTCCCTGGGTACTGAAACATCACTGCAAACACATCCACCAGTTTAGACCTTCTTTGCTTCCACATGCACTGGAGCAGCTACAGGAAACCCCAGCCAGCACTTTGCTACACTTGGTGCTGCAGAGTGTGAGTGGTAGGGGACAGCTTTGGGTTTGATATTTGTGACTAGTGTATGTTTAATACAAGGATGAAGAGAATTCTGAATAAATGACAGATGACTAATTGGCAGCGTAAGCTTTGTATTTCATTAATACCAGTAAGCCACATTCTGAACAGTAACAATGCAGCAGCCTTTATCTCACCAATTAGCAGGCAAGGCAGGTAATGTATCATAGCAGCTTCTCACATGTTAAAGGCAATCCTGTGTTGCCAAGTAAGGGAAACAACTTTGAAGCCAGATACAGGTCAGAACAAAAATACTCAAAAACTACCCAGAAAAGTCTTTGCAAACAAAAGCTAGGAAAGAGAGAGGAGCCAGGGGTTACATTAAGGTGCCTGGACCTTAAGTATTTGGAAGAAAAGGCAGGATGTGAAGTGCTGTCAGTTTCAGAAGAAGGAAACCTACTGTTGAATTAGTGCTTGGGATGAACCCTCCAGAGCTCCTGAAAGAGATGGCTTTAAGTTATGGGTAAGGAGTGGTTTAGCAGAGACTTCCTACCAGATTCCATCTGGCATGTTAATAAGCACATGGGTTTCATGCTGCTGCCCAGAGGAAGACACCAACAGCTGCACCTGCTGCACACCATATGTAACACCTGCACTAAGCAGAGGTGGGATTTCTCACATGAAAACAGGGTCCGCTTGGAGAAGCTGCTGACAGCACCGTTATGTGAAACTGGTATTTGGGTCAAGAGCTAGGGAGCCATCAGCTGGAGCTCTGCAGAAGCCCTGGTGCTGCATGCATCGCCTCGGAACCACAAAGCCAGTCCACTTGCTTTGAAGGCACAAGTGACCTTGAGATATGCTTGCTGACAACATGCTGTGTGAATGCTCCCACTCCAAAACTAGGGCTGTTGCAGCACATTCATCCACCTCTGTGTCTTCTCAGTAACGCCTGTGGTAGCTTGTTCAAAGCCTGCAGGGGAGCCAGAAATGCCAAGGGGAATGGAACACTGCTGTTTGACCAGCTGTGGGTTTTGCTGCCTGCCTGCACAGCCTCCCTGAGGAGCCCAGGTTGGGCTGAGTGGCAGGACAGTAATCACAGTGACACTCTGGGATGCATATTGGGTGCAAACACTCCCAGGAATGTCACCCAGCATAGGCCTGGGGAACAGAAGCAAATCCCACATCACTGCCCTGACTGTTGAGTTGTTTTTAGCACTGGTTGGTCTCCGTCTTGCAACTGAGACTGGATTTCTCTGTGGAGCATAAAGCAGAGCTTCTCCGTGGCTCTGAGGTTATGGCTCTCAAAATGGTTCCTGTGTCCTGGTCACAGGCCAGCAGCAAGACACCTAAACCTGGCTCAGAAGCCTCCCTCGCTCACCCAGGGAGATGAGGCATCCAGGAGCAAGACTCTTGGTATTTCTGCATGGCACAGAGCAGTGGTGCCCGACAGCCACCAGAGAGCTGTAAAGCAGTGGGAGATCAGCACTCTGCTAAAACCACACAGGGAGGACCAAGTGTTTAAAACCACCAATTCCCTCCACTTCCTGCGGCCAGCGAGAGCTTTCCTGTGAGTAAGGTGAGGGGAATAAAGGCAGCTGTGTAGTCCTCCTGATAGATGATAGTTTCCCCCAGCACATTCTCAGCGAGCATGCAGTAAACGCTGCTGTCAGGGAGCAGCTGAGGAGTTTGGCAAGTCTATTTGGAACCAAAGAAAAGGTCAGACAGGTCACAGGAAAATGTGATGCCCAGTCAGAAACAGTGCAAGGAAGGATAATTTTCCCTTTATGTACTCTGACATTTGGGAGATGAGGTTTGGTTGATCACTCTTTCAGGTTTTTAAAAAGCAGCTGAGCAAAGTATATTCGAAGGCATTTTGAGTGTTTTACAGAAGACATTCCTAAGCAACACACAAGAATCATTTGCACAACCACAATGGCCATGTCCTAACCTCAGAATCTGCAGGCACAGTCGTGAAAAGACAGATGAGTGACCAAAAATTTCTATAAGCAGAGATGTGAGTTAAGTCAGCTGCCAGATGGGAGCCACAACAGATCAGAATCCCCTCTGATCTATTGTGAAAAAAATCTCTGGCAGATCTGAGCCCCAGCAGCAATTTCCAGAGCAGGAACTATCTGCTCCCTCGTGGAACAGCCAGAGACACTGAGAAACAATAATCAAAACAACAACCACACATAATTTTCCAATGTCTGATACAGTTATTTTTAAACAGGTTATCTAGCCAATCCACATGACTATATCTTCTTGAATATTTTATTATGTCTGTTCTCCAAATTTTATTTTCTCAACTGAAGGTGAGATTTGACCAAAATACAGAAAGCACATGGCTGTGAAAAGCAGCCCATGCTTGGCAGTAACATGGACATGCTTGAAGTGCTGCACACCCCAAAGATTCAAACAGAGGGTGCCTTACACGCAACAGAAACTATCCATCTGTTGTCAGAAATTGTAAGATTTTTCTCTCCACTTTGAGGTTTATTACCTAGTTGCTGCTTTAATTCTTGTGTGAAAATGTGCTAAATGAGCATTTTAAGTGTCATCCCTTTTTCCTATTTGATATTTCACTGACAACTGCTACAAAAGGTTTTTACTTCAACTTGAATATGCATTAAAGTGTTGTAAAAGCAATCTAAGAGATTTAGAGAGCTTGGTCATGTACCATCAAATAAACACATTAACTAAAATGGGTTCACTTTTTGTATTCAGATGCAACAATGACAATGCTTATTAGCAAAGGCTTGATACTTTATTTCAGTAGTTGACAGAATTTAAAATAAAATTCAGTTTGCTACAGAACTCTGGTGAAAATAATTTTAGGTCAACATGATCAAAATGCCCATTTGGTTGACTGCAAAAGATTAAGTGGGGCTGGAAATGTGTATGAGCTCCCCTTTTCACAGGACTTACTGATGTGGTGAGTTGCAGGAGCCCTGACCCACAGCTGGACTGACCCTTCCCAGCCTGGAGAGCAGCCACAGAATGCTGTTGACAAGGGCTCTGTGCTCCAGCAGATCCATAGCAGGAGCCACGAAGCCAGGCAAAAAAGGCTCTGGGACAGCTGCCATTCTCACTGCCCAGCTGCAGGATCAGGAGCCCTCGGCCACCATGGGGATGAAGGATGGCTCTGCAGTATCAGAGCCATTTCAAGGCTGCTGCTGTCAAGAACCAGCAGAAGGCAGCTCAAAGATGCTCTTGGTTGAATGCACAACCACCAGTTTAGGCACTGCCTCTACACTTCTCACCAGCCTTCCCACTCAGGCACACAGACCTCAGACAGAACCTCCAACAAAGGCAGAGAAGGGATATAAATCAATGTGACCTGACAGCCTAAGGAAAAGCTCCAAGGTCGTGTGACTGGAGCTGCAGCCAATTTTCTCACCAGCCAGGAGAAGGGCAGAGCCCAGCCTTGCTCCAGCCATCAGGACCTCCCCCCACCCACAGTGAACAGTGCCTGGACAGAACAGTACCAGATTACTAAGTGCTGTACCACACCCCGAACACTGAACTCTGCTAACATGGGGTTTTCTTGTTACACATCCATTCAGCAATTCCTGTTTTCCAAGCCACCCTCTTAATCCCCTAGCTCTGTGGTACTTTCTTCTGAGATGCCATCGTAGCAATACCTGTCATGCCTTCAGCCACCCAAGGATTTAAATACAGAAATGTCACTGCCAAAGGAAGACTAGTGTCATCAGGGCAGACTCGGGTAGGCACAGCTCTCCGAGATAAGACCTTGCATCTTCACAGCTGCTACTTCCCATCGTCACCTCCACAAGAGCTCCAAAAGCAGAGTGGTTATTCTGTGGGGTTAAGAGCAAGACCTCAGAGGGGACTTTGAGAAAAAAACCCACACACTAATACAATCAGAAATTATTTTATTCAGAGGTTTGCTCTAAATAGTTATTTCTTTGCTGGCCAAGACTTCATGCCCCTTCAGGACCACCTGGTACCAGACAGGGACTCACTGGGGTAGCAATTCTGAGAAAACCAGAACAAGCAACACAACCAAATGCTCACAGCAGCGATGGTAAAGCAGTTTGAGTTTTGTTTTCAAGGTTTTCCAGTTAATCAGGAACCCCATTTCCTCACTTCACTGTTGCATTTCTCACCTGGGAAGGAAGAAAAGCTGGGCATTCATTACCTGCACTCAGAGAAGCAGCAGCTGCTGTCCCACCAGCTGCTGAATGTCCTTCTTAGACAATCTTTATTTCAGCTCCTCCACTAGAAAATGGTGAAGGTCAACACTACGGGGTATGTGCAAGGCAACCTCATTATCCCTCTCCACAAATCCTAGATACTTGCCAGCAGATCTCTCTCTTGCATCATTTTGAGTAAACATTTAATTCACACAGTTGGGCACCCCACAGAGAATTCCAGGAGTGCACACTGGGCCCAAGTTAGATGTTTTGGTCATAGAAAGTTAACAACACAATAGAGACAAATGTCATCTCCTTTGGAGTCCGGATGAGCTGAAACCTACTACTGAAAAACCTACACTGATGCAATGAGCTGAGACATTTTGCCCTCCAGCAGTCCAACCCTCCAGCTCCAGGCTCTAACATGAGTTTTGATCCCTAGGCTGGGGTTTTGCCACAAACCAAAAAATAAGCCACAGAGAAGCACAGCAGCTTCTACCTTCTACCACTGCAGCTGCAGCCCAGAGACCTCTGGTTGTTCTGCCCAATAGTGCTCACTTGTTCCAACAGGAGCTGGCAGCACCTGGGCAGGCAGGATCCAGCAAGGTCCCCGTCTGCTGAAGCCAAAGAGCATGAGAGATGGGAACCATGACACTAGGAGTTATGTTTCAGGGTTTTATTAGTTGTTCTTCTGCAGAATCAAAATATTTAGCAAATTAGAGATTCCTCAAGACTGCTGATATTTCATGTATATAAACTTGATCAATGTACAAACGTAATACTTTGAACTATCAAAAACAACCCCAAATCTGATTTGTAGTACTAGATATTATTATGTCATTCTATAGCAGTGTGAAAAATGGAACTAATGCAGTGAGTATATTTGTTTTAAAGAAAGTGCTTGAAAGAAACCTCCTGCATTACACTGTGTATTATTTAAAACAAAAATATTAACTGACTTTCTAATAGGGCATTGTCTTAAATATCCTACAAGCCCGGGAGATTAAAAATACTGAACCCCAGCTCTCTGCCTTCAGCTTCAAGAACCAACACAAGTTGGCAGGTCCAGCTTACCTGCTTCAAGGGAACCTTACCACTCAGCATTGGACACTCATGTCTGGCAGAAGTGTTGGATGCATGGGTAAAAAACAAAATCCAAGAGGACAAAAAAAACAAGGTTCTCTCTTTATGCATAGTGACAGTTTCTGAACCAGTGTTTTACTAAGTTACAGACTAACTTTCAACCAAAAAATAAAACTCCATTGCACTAAAGGTCAAATTTAACCAGGTAATCTGGACTGTGACACAGTCAAGTAATTCAGTACAAGCAGACAAGACACCAGGAGAGCAGCTTCAAAGAACCAAAGCATCCTAGTTTCAGAACCAACTTAATATTCTTCTGTCCAACTCCAGTGCAACAACGAGGGGGGAACCACTCCATCTCTACCTATGTACAATTCCAGTCAAGGCTGGGCAGTCTCAACTTTCCATGGCCAAGCTGGAAAAAGGAAACTTAGGAAAGGACACTTTAATTTAAGAAGCAAAGTTGGCCCTCATTGGAAAGAGAAATGCTGAAGTGATGCACGCAGGCAGGCTTCTCAGTCACTCTCCCTTCTATGCAAAAAGCTGAGAGCAAGTCACACTGGATGTGAAGGTGGCAGGGCTGGTCCTGCTCCGTTGCACGCCAAGAATCCAGGAATGTGTCTTCAGCTGGCTCCTGCACGGGCCATTAGATCTTCCAAAGCATTGTGTCGGTCATTGTTGTGTAATAATAAGACCTCCGTAATGTCTTTGAGTTCAAAGCCCATTTCTTTAAATTGACTCATTAATTGGAGAAGCTCTGTGATCTGAAAGACGTATAGATAGCCTGTTATTTGCAAGAGAAAAGTGGATGGCTCAGTGCTTGGTGGAGGTTTAGCACAGAGCCTGTCTTCAGCAGCATGAGTGTGGATTCCTCCTCCCCAGCCCATTCCATCTCTGTTGGGAGAAAGTCTGCTCACACCAGAGCTCTGGGCACAGCAGCCCACAGGGACCTTCTGTCCCCTCTGTTTGCCATCCTTCCCTTCCAAAACCCTCTCCAACCAGAGCACCAAAGCTCCATCTGCCTGGGTGTGTCTCTCAGAAGGATAGTTACCAACCTGGCCCAATGGGGAATCCCAAAAATGCTGCTTAATGGCACCCAGCTGCCCCATCCAGCAGCTCCTGCTGCACCTGTTTTTTTTTAAAGTTACTTGGACTTCAGGAACAGTGCAGTAGCCCTTGCTATCAATTGGCTTCTCAGATCTAGGGCAAAGTTGGGGGATTAGCACGAACCCCACTGTGTACATATGGCATTTCCAATATCAACTCTGAATTGTCCCTGCGCTTTGAAAAATAAAATGGTGAGAAGTGAGTCAGCTGATCACTTTTATGAACCCTCTGCCATCTACAGTGCATCTGCTCCACTCCAGGGGAAGGTAAAAATCCAAAAAATCAAGCAAGGTTGAAATGGGCAATTGGGAAATTAGCAATTTCCAATTCTGGGGCTGAGCCAATAAGTAAATGGGTTTCTCAAACTCAGGTTACTTTCCATCCTTGCACTGCTATTGCTCTGTTTACAAGATGATCACTTGTCCAAGAAAGACAGGAAGACATATCTATGTTTGAGGGGGTTGGGTTGCACCTCGAAAGACTTCATGTAATAAACTGTCACACTATCGGCTGGCAGACTTTACAAGATCCTCCTGTCCTCTGCCCTTGCTTGCTGCTCCTGCTGTACCTTTGGTGCAGGTAAAGCAGCCAGATAGAGAACCAGCTCCCAGCACATGCATTTTCTAGCTTCTTCCAGAGCAAGTCGTAACCCAATTTGCTGAGCAGCCAGGCAGATGCACTTGTACAAGGGAGAAAATTCATGGCCAGGGCAGGCTGGCAAGGTTTGCAAGACAATTTGCTGCTGCTGAAATTAAGTGCATCTGTACCAGGCACCTTGCCCACAAGAGAACTCTGGGCATTCAAAACAATTCAAAAACAAGGCATTCAAAAATTCAAAACAGGATCTTAAAAAAATCCTGTCCCCATAAAAATGGATGCAAATGAGACTAATAGAATGGTATTGACAAATTCTAATGCTTTAACAATTTTTAGCTTTATCAGCAAAAAGGTGTCATTTAGCAGTCAGTTTTGGAAACAAGGCAGCATTACCATGAAAGCCAGAATTATATCAGCCAGAGGAATTGCTGCTGGAATTCCCTGTCATGGCACATTTTTCTATTTCTGAACACACTGCACCCTCACCTTCTCCTCTGAACACTGGTGCATTTCCAAAGCTGCTTCAACAAGAAGTGGATCAAAGCCCTTCTCACAAAGCTGTCCATGTGCAAACAGGTAATCCAAAACCTATGGGGAATGAAGAAAACAAACTGTGTTTGCAGAGGCACTTGCAGCAGGCAGCTGAATGTCACCTTGGTACATGCAGAGCGCTTGAGCATGATTCTACCCAGCATTTCACCAGAGAGAGATACACTCCTTCCTAGCAGAGTTGAGACATTCCTTATACAAGAGCTTGTGCAGAGAAAGCAGGCAAACCCTTCTGTCCTGCTGTGCTCTCTGACCATCCCCTTCATTGTACTCAAAGCAGCCTCAGAAGTGTCTCCTTAGCCCTCTGATAGCAGAGCAGAGATTTCACTATGCTTTTTATACTACAAGTGTTAAAAATGAAACTGTAGGTCCAGCAGCCAGGACATGTCTACTTTTAGCTTCCTCTCAAACAGCCACAAGAGCTGATGCAATCTGAGAGCAGTCAGCCTTTGAAGATAAACTCAGCATACTGGCAAGTGAGCTGCAAATCCCAGCTCATGCACACAAACTGCTGCCAAATTTCTCATCCATCATCAGCTTTAAAGGGAAATTTCAGGTGGGCAATGCTAGGTATGTGAAAGAACAGTGCTTGCAAGTAGAGCAGGATTTAAAACCACCCTCCTAAAGGACCTTTTTGCCATCTGATGCCACAGTTCACTCCAGCGCACAGCTTAAGCTGTATGTAGAAGAGAGGGCCAGCAGATCAATCCCACAAGCAGGAGTACCTGGGACAAGCTCTGTGCAGCACACAGCCTGCTGAGGCCAGCACAGGAGGCTGGGCCATGTTCTCCCACTTTTAAGTGTTTGTTTGAAGCAGATCCAAGATCCATGCTTTGCCCAGCAGCACTTGGTGCCCAGTGACCTGGTTTGTGCAGGCAAGGGAGGCAGCACTCAAGCAGGAAGGAGCAGCACCAGGGCACACACAAGTCAGTCAGTGGGGCCTTGCAGGAGCCTTTCAGAGCTGTCTTAGGCCTGCAGGGGCCAATCTCTCTACAAGGAGAGATATCAGCATTGTAAAGCCTTGTGCTGAGAGCAGGTAAATTGGCTGGATTTCTGCGTCACGTGGCTCTTGACATAGCACAGAGCCATGCTAAGCTTCATTTGGATGTGTTTGTGGCTCTTGGGGAGACCCAGACTCTCCCCCCAATTTCAAACAGAGCAAAGGGCCCATCCCAAACTCAGCATGACTCCAACCCAGCACCCGCAGGTGTGGCTGACTCTAGCAGTCTCTCACTAGAAATAAGCACAAGCTTTAGGCTGCAAAAACTAAATTGGAGTAACAGGATTTCCCCCATCCATTTTGCAAACCCAAGACAGCTTCCCAGCAGAACCAGTATCCAATCATGCATTTATTTGCACTGCATGAACTCTTACCTGATCTATGTTCTGTCCTTTCTTCTTCATGGCTTTCAGGACATTCTCAGGTGAGTAGCCCATGTTGACCACAGTCTCCACACAGTGCCTCTCACTGGGGGAGAGGCCCCGCTGCAGCTCGGCCGCGAGACCGCCTGGCCACTTCATGCAGCTGCTGCTGTTGGACACTTTAGACACTGCAAAGTTTTGGTGTGTTACCTAAGGAGGAAAACCCAGAGGTTGAGGTGATGGTCATCTCCTGCATCCCCACATCCGGTTTCTGCTGAGTGCCAGAACCAGCATATCCCATGTAATTATTTCAAAAGGTTTTCTAGAGTGCCCTTGGGAAGTTACACACTGTGAGGATGAAACCAAGTAGCCTAATTCCCACCATACTTTTAACCCTCAAAGCAACAATCAGCAACCCACGTTCTCCACAAAGAACTCTCTCCTACTGGTGTGACCAAAGCCTTTGAACACCCAAGCCCTGCAACATTGAAGGCTGGGATACAGCCAAATCCTGCACCTCAAAGGAAGTACAGATTGCTTTCTTCACCTCAGGTTTACTCATGACCTATGTTTTTCTGTACTCAAAGGAGCACCACTTACCAAGATTACCATAAACATGATCCAATGCAAGCAAGCACACAGGTGTATTTGGAAACTTACCACAGGGATTTCTGTTTCCTGGTAGTCTGGGTGTACCTGCTGGACAACACACAAATAAAACAAGTATAAACATCATGCACCAGTCAGCAGAATTTGCCACACCTGGGGGAGAAGGGCTTTATAGAAGATTCTACCACAGGATGGGAGACTTTACGGTCTGATCAGGTTTCCATATAAGAGATGCTGACATTACCCATTGCCTGCAGCTATAGAATCTTCATCATCATAGGGATCATTCCTCCTCTCAGCACTCTACAAACAGATTATACTCCAAGAAGGATGTGTGTACCCCCACAGTAATTCTAAGATTGTTTATTCTGTCATTGTAACAGCTGCTTGTTCACACAGCCCCAGTTCAGTTTCTGACCAGGTCTACACTGCCTGAATAACAGTGATAATTTTGAAGTCATTGCCTAAAGTCTTATTTGGACTTTTTGCTTATGTGAAGGGGTAAGAGAAAACACACCTCTTTTCTATTCACTGCACTGAACTCCATATACCACATAGGAACAACGTGCCACATTGGCTCAAAAGAACATGTGAGTTTTCTACCCAGCACTTGTCCCACTCCCAGCACACCAGCAGGGCTGGGTCATGTCCCCTGCTGTGTACCTGCTCTGCTTCTGCAGAACCAGCCCACCACTTTGTACAACCTTGCCCAAGTTAACAGCAGTGCAAAGTCAGGCCTCAGCCTCACCAAAGCTATACATTTCAGTTCAATACATTCAGAACTCTCGCACGTTAAACAGAACAGACTGCAAGAATTCACTGTGGACCAAGGACCGCAGTTTTTAGCATTTCTTAATACTTTTTATGTCAGCACTGATTGCTTGAAAGGTTGTCCACATCCTTCAGAAAGGCCTTCTTAGTGCCCAAACTGAACAGCAAAAAACCCTCTATAAAAAACCAATTCTGAAAAGATCTAACAGGATTCCATTTATTTGCAAAAAGATCCCAAACTACCACTCAGGAGGTCTTCTTCTGCATTCCTGAACATCTTTCAGGGCAAGAATTTCTCTTCTAGAAAACCAACCCTGAGACATCATATTCATTCTGATGCACTAGGATATCCAAGAACCTATTCTCATGGTGTGTTCTTCAGACACATCCTCTCTCCAGACACTTTTTCAAGGGCAAAAAGCACTGGAATATAGGATACACTGAAATAGGGAAAACAGCTAGTGGGTTATCAAACGGAAGGATGATGCTTTGTTATTGATGCTGCAGCCTGGAAAACCAAAACTGTTTCTGATACCAGAGATTTAACAGTCTGGGAAAGTCAGCTCCTCCTACACAATCTAACTTGAGTATAATTTCAATCTGCTGTCTTCATTAGTCATTGCTACCTCTGTTAAATCTGCAGAAATCAATGTACTGAGATTCAAGAAAAAATAAAAGTGAGGAGAGAGGACCACCCCAGAACCTATGCAGCCTTAGAGAAACTACAGATTTATTTCATCCAAAGATTCCTATAACCAGTTCAGTGATAAAGCAAAAACTCCCATGGTAGCCGCAAATTCAAAGTTACAGTTTCTAATCTTGTGAGGAAAAAAAATAAAATCACTGTACAATACATTTGGATATGAGCCTTCTGCTCCCAGGCACAGAGATGACTGATTTCATTCTACTGTTTTCATACTCTGAGGAGTTTTGTTACATTTATTTAAATTATTTTGCTGCATTTACTTAAATTTCTCACATATCAGCCATCATTTTCCAGTGGAACTATACTGTGCAAGTATAAACCAAGTATAATCTGAAGTCCTGGAATTTAAACACAAAGAATTGAATTTCATCAGCATAATTATTTCTTGGTTCACTACTTCCAATGTATAAATAGTTTCAAATTAATGAATTAATTTTATCACTTCTTCTAGTAAGTCTAATTTTTTCCCACTTTGCATCTTCCCTTACAACACTGTCAACAATACACTTTACCTCTTGGTCTTTAAAAAACTTTAATTCAGCAGAGAGATTTAAATAGTTTTGAGTGTAAATTTAGGCATCTTAATGCCATTCTTATCTAGTTGTCAGTGATCTTACATCCCCAGAGATGCTATGTGCTCCATAACTAAGATCACAGAGGCCCCCTCATACCTGTGACCTGCAGCAGTGAGCAGGTGCTCAGCACACTGCTGCTCCTGTCAAAGTTAACAGTATTGAATTTGCTCCAGTCATCAACAATCGGCTGTTCTGCTCTACTCTGTCAGATACACTATCTCCCAGAATATTGTATTTCACAATTATGAGTGCATTCATCTAACCCTGAAAAGAACTGGAAGGAAAAAAGGGGGGAAGCAGTATCACTTGTTTCACACCACATGGTGTCAAACAAAAACCTACAGCATGACACTAAGACCACAGAATCACTGAAACACTGCCTATATTGGACAGAGAAAAGAACCCAGATTAGTTTAGAACAAGCAAGAGGATTTGAATATACAGCTTTCACTAGGCTTCATGAATACTGGTGTCCTGATCTGCAGTTCTTCATAAAAAAACCCCACAAGCTTACTCTAATCTCTGTTCTTATTCATGAAGAGACAAAAAACAACACCTGATGTGAAGTTACTATTCTCAAGGTAATTTCAGAACTCACAACAAGATTGACTCTTCATTTCCTCAATCTCCCATCTCAGAGCTGTATGGTGACCAACTGTAACATTAAAAACACATGACAATCTTCAAGGCTGGTTTTGGTCTCCACTAAGCAATGACTGCACCCTTCTTCACAAGAAAGGTCAAATACAAAATTTCACATCACTCTATTTTTTTTTTTCCTGTTAAAGATTAGGTTTTTAAAGGATCTCAGGAAGAAAATCAAAACCTAAAAAAAAAAAAAACTTACTTCACTGTAGATCAACTGCAAGCACTTTTTTCTGACCCAAATGACACACCACATCTGTGAGTTTTAACCTATTATTACATCTATTTCTTAAGAAGCCTGCATTTCCCATTATTTCCAGCAAATAAACAAGCAAACCAAGGAACAAAACCAGAAGAGATTTGATTCAGAGCCTAACAACACTTCAGAGTCTCATATATCTCATCTGGGTAGGACAAAATGCAGGACTGTACAGAGAAGATGCCTTATTTGCTTAGCTCAAAGGCATGCAACTTGCAACAAAAAATGAGAGCTGAAAAAACAACCACTGAATTTGGTCTAAAAATGTCAAATTTGGGGAAAATTCGGGGTAATAATCTGAGGATCAGAACTACCACCACAAACGCCTGTTTGATTGATCAATTCACCATGTAAATTAAGGGGATCTACAATTCACTCCTAGTAAATGAAACTATAGCCAGAACAACAGTGCAATTTAGAGGCAAGAGCTGCCTCTGCACTTCCACCTCTCATTAGCAACCCCAGTTTGACTCCACTCCATGTTTACCGTAGTTGATGTGCTTTGAGATGATTCTTCTTCTGTACAAACAGTCGAAACAGCTAGGGAAGACAGCCTGGATGAAGAGGATACTGTCTCCCTGCCACTGTCCTCATTTAGAGCGGAAAGACCAAGCATATGGTGTCCATTCAGTTCACTGGCTTTGCTCTGAGCACAGGTCTGCAAAGAGCCGAGCAAAGTGCCATTGCGGAGACAGGTAGTGCTGTGGAAAGTGCTTGTGAGCTTTGATGATTTCTGATCACCCTCATCGGAGTCAAGCTTAGGGAATGACAGGGATTTGATATTGCTCACTGAAGTGATGGGGGAAAGGGACACTTTGGAAGACAAGGACATCTTTTCACAGTTTCCCAACTGTGGTAAAGTGATAAAGCCATTTGGTTTGTGAAGGGGTTTGAAGTCCAACGTGGCCTTTTCTATGGATGCCAGAACTTCCTCATCTTGCAACACAGACTCAGACCCTCCTTTAGGCAATGTATTATCTAACAGCTGGGCAACAATTGGCCCAGTAGTACCAACATGAATTTCAAGGATATTTTTTAATTCCTCCTTATCATCTATAGTTTTTAATTCCAGTTTGTCAAAAGGGTCTTCTTCACATTCAAAATCAGCTGGGTTGAAATCTGCCTTTGGGTGAGGTGGACTGAGGACCTTTTGCTTCACAGAGCTGGTGTTTGCTGGGGTAGGAGTCAGAATATTATTGTGCTGCAGGCTAGCAAGGATGGGGTTAATAGGAGGAGGCATGGCTTCAAGGCAAGGTCCCTCTGAGAACCCCATCTTGGTGTTGTCCTCTGGAGCTGCTTTTGAGTTTGCTAGAGCGTCTTCTGCCTTGTGTTCAGCTTGTCTCTGGGCAGCCTGAATTTTTTTGATGTCTTCAGCCCACTCGATTGTTTTCTTTTCCAGTGAGAAGTCATACTGAATGGTCATGAAGAGAAAAGAAGGGGAAATTAAAAAAAAAGATAACTTATAAGGATCATAGCTGCTACTTCTAACAGCAACATAAATTAATGCAAAGAGAATAAGAACTACATGAATTACCAGGAACAGCAACATTTTGTCAATCTGCAGGTTGTGAAAAAGCTGGTAGACACTAGAAGTACTTCATTTTGTCACTAGCAGCAAAATTTGGCTGCAGCCTGGATTAGAATACTGCATTTTGCCTCCTTCCTACACTTAGCTTTGTTTTAGCACTACTCATCATCCTAAGATTGGTTTCACAGCCCTCCTGCCCTCTTCCCTCAGGACAAGGAGGTAGCAAGGGGAAGTTTAAGTAGTTATTAGATAAACAATCACACCCTGATCTGGCACCACTGAACCATCCCCAGTCCGCAAGTTCTACAAATCATTCAGTAGAGTTTTGCATCCAAAGGCCAATACAGTATTACTCAGTGTCCCCTAAAAGATTCCTAAGGGACTTGATACTAGAGTGCTACACCCATTGATTTAAGGCAGTATTTTCATTCCCACTCCAGTGCAGTGCCTCACCAGCCAAAGGGGATACAGTGGCTGCACCAATGACAACACATACAGGCAGCAGCAAATTTTGCTGTAGTTACTGATGTGACAGGACCTCAAAAGCTTTTTCCACTTGACATCAGGTCCTTTACAGCCAGATCAGTACAAGAAGCCATCTACACTACCAGTGTAATGACCACAGAGCGGCTTAGTTGTAAAGGGCAAAATTCTGAGGAGCCTAACTGCACCTTTAAATACCCACATTTTTTTAATACAAAAAATATGGGCAGGAAGCTATATTTCTTGCACTTTATTTTAAACAGTGCTCATTACAGCTATAAAGAGAGTCAAATTCCATTGTGAGATGCACAGTCCACACTATGCAGGGTGTTGCAGTCTGAACAGGCACATTATGCTGGCTGAACCCCAGTTTGGCAGAAAAATGGAGACACAGCACAATTAAGCCAGCAACAGGACTTATCAGCATCTCCTTTGGCTCTCCCACACCAGTTTAACTGAGTGTAAATATGGGTACTAGGAAAATCAGGTAAGTGTTTAATAGTTATGAGGGAAAAGTGATGAAGTAGGATAACAGGGTAAGATGTAGGGCAAGGAGAGAACAAAAACAGCAAAAGCAAAGCAGAATCACCTACAGTAATATGTCACAAACAAAGTAAAAACAATCATCAGTTAGGATTGGTCAAGGAAAATCATGGATCTAAATGAGAAGCATAATTCAATTAGACATCCTGTACGATAACCTGCATTTGGAGATTAGATTTTAAACAGTTGTGCTAAAGCAATTGATTTCATGCTACTAACAATTTATTTTATCAGAAACATGCTCCTCAAGACAGGGAAGCCATCCGTGTACAAAGCTGTAACCTGTTTGTCCCACGGCTTGGAAAGAACACTCACCCGGAACTACCCAGAACATAAGAACTGAAAAGTATGTTATTGAATTTAGAATTTATCCTGTCAAAAACTATAGTCAAATTTTGTCAAGGTAACATTCAGAACTAACTACAACCACATAAAACCACTGTGCTTCTTTGAAGCAGATAGACTAAACCAAATGCTTAAAAATAAAAGCCCAGCGGCTTTTTAAGGCAACAAAAATTAGACACTTTCTGCATGCCCCGTTGTATTTTACTTTTCTATATAGCCCAGTGGATCATCTAGAAATACAAGACTGTCCGTATGCAGACTGTGATAACTTGGAATGTACAGCACCACAAGCTGGGGCCATGGGTGAGGGGAGAGAGAGCAGGAAGGCAAAATATCACTTACCTGGGCTTCTCTGACAAGTTGAGAAGAATCAGATAGACAGAAACCAATGGGTAATCCAACCTTTGCTGGCGTTTTGAACTTGTCTCCTATCTTAAATGGGACATCATCAAGGTAACTGAAAGGCCCTGAAATCAGAAGCAGGAATTGTATTGAGAAAAAAACCCCAAAACTCAAATTTCACACTTTCAATTCAGGCTCACACTGCTGTGTTTGAGACCTATTTTATCTCCATTGCAGCATCTATACGAGATAACACAAATGGAGTTTAAAGCTGTTTGGACCTCAGTGTCTCTTAGTTTAGTAGGTTTGGTCAGAGTTTGTTTAATTCCTAAATCCTAGCCCATAACTGTTAAGAAAAAAAAAAAAAAAAAATAAAGGCAAACATTCTCATAACCACAATCCACCAGATTTTGACATCAATGCAACCAGTATTTAGTTTCCTTTGTGACAACACTATTCCTACACAACTGGATGCTGAAGATCTCCTGAACAATGTATTCTATCTCTATAAAAAGATCCATCATTTTTTGTCATATTCAAAGCAGATTTAAAAATTATTCAGCTTCAGCACAACTAAGACAAACTACAATCCAGGTTTTGACATACAAGTAGTAAGCAGTATTTGGACAGCAGTGGTCATAAATGCAAAGCAATGAAACAAAGCCATTCCACTTTAAACAAAACACAGTGAAATACTAAGGCTATTAATACAGCAACTCTATTTTTTAAAATAAGGCAATCTAACTTTATCAGGTCCTACATCTGTTTTTTTTTTCTAGGATGACACTTCTGCAAGTTCACAACAAAAAAAAAAAACACTTAGAGTTCAACCACCTCCAAGCAGCCAGAGTAGCAATGTGTTTTCCTTGAGCAACTGTGAAGAAGTATGAGAAAACCCAAAATACAAACTAAACAGCTTTTCCATTAACTGAAAGTGGTCTCTTGGATGACTGGTCTAAACTTTTGGGTCACAGGCAAGGTTTCTTGCATGTGCAACAATCAGAGGAGTGACTCTAGGCCTTACTTGTAGCTTCTTCCTGAGTGACACATATACAGAAAGACATTAGTGGCAACATCTAAGACTGTGTTCAGTGACCAAGCCCTCCTCACTCAGTGAACTGGGACTTGCTGTTTTTATCTGACCCATTTTCATACTCAGATGGCAGTATAAGTATTGTTTGTGTTCCCTCACTGTTGATTCATCTACAAGGCAGGCACAGACTCCCAGAGGCTGAACAGCTTTCATAAACAAGAACATCCTGTCAATTTGCAGTTAAAGGCTGTTATTACTTGAGCTCTCATACTATGCACACACTGGGTGGTCACAGAGTTCTGTTAGGACACTTTGAAACGATCAGGATGAACAACCTACATCCCATCTGCACCTCTAGGATAAAAAAAAATGTTCCAGGTAGAACATGACAGTATTTTCAGTGATCTGGGAATCACATATCCAAGCACTGCACAGCATCCAGACAGCACCTCACTTGGCCAACATGACCATTCTTTGCAACACAGCATCCAAATTATACTTGAGCTGACAACTTGAGAGCCTGATATGCCAAAGCATTTGCTTATACAGAAATAACAACTGTAGCAGCCTCTGCAGCTGGGGTGGTAAATCATGGCCAGGTCAAAGACAACCTGCCAACTGCTGCTACCATGGCCTATTAGTCCCACTGGCTGCTCTACACCAGACGATCCAAGTGCAGCAAGATTACCTCTCCACATGGATCTCCCAGCCCAAATTGCTCAGCGTGTAAATCTTTGTCTTATTAGACCTATTTACAATATGTAGTGGGCACTTCCCCTTGCACAACTATACCTGAAGTAGATACCAGCCACAGAGGGTGCAAGCACAAACTTTGCTGTTTACATACCAGCAATCCTGTTTTGCACAATAAATAAAAAATACTAAGCATGCCTAGACTAGCTATACTAAGCTGCCAGCTTAACCTCAGAAGCTTGACTAAGGAATAAAAACTTCCTACTTTGTTCCCCAGTATACTTATTTTTTTAAAAACAACCCTTGCTATAATCTCATCCTGAGCATAACTATGAGAAAAAGCCCATAAGCACATATTAAAAACATCTCAAATGGTTTAGGACATTTGATGGCAAAAAGTCGGAGGCAAAACACCTATGCACATAGAATTCAGCCCAATCCAAGCAGTACTAGCTCGGTAAAGCTAAAATATTATCCAGAGAGCTAAGAATCCTTTTCTTTCTGAGAGGAGATCACAGTGCACACACTGAGGAGTAAAGGGTGCAAATTATTTTAAATGCCACATTCTAGAGCAGTAAGATAAACCTATAAAAAAGGTATTATGAAAGATATTGTTACAAAAGTCACACATTCAAGTGAAACAACTTAAGTTTTTACCAAACTCTTATTAAATAAGCCTGTTAGCCACTTCATCCTTGTATCAGTTAAAAGCACACTGAGTAATTTCTGAAAATAAACACAACAAAAGTGTACTTGTCTGCTCGGTCTCTGTACTACATTTCTGGCACAACAAACTACTAAAAGTCTCCACTTCAGCATAACTCAAAGGAGTGTTCAGTTTGGCATCAAAATGGAAGCACTTCAGGAAAAAAAAAGAAAAAAAAAAACCAAAAAAAAAAAAAAAAAAAAAAAAAAAAAACCCCCCAAAAAAAAACCAAAAAAACAGTTATCAGGCATAAAGACTGTTTTTAGACATAGAAGCAACTGCTGAATAGCCAGCAATTACCAAATGAAAAAAATCAGTTGTCTTGCAGCAGGGACAGTGAGCCACAGGAAAGACTAAGACCATCAAAAAATGAAATTTTGATACACTATTTCTATTAATCCTTAACCCAGTATTTAAGTGAGACATTTCTTATTTTTTACTTCAACTTTACGCTTGCAAGACTGAATAAAAAGATGCAGGAAAAACTGAATGCCCCAGGACCCTTTTATTAGAAAAATTATCCAGAAAGATCAAGGTTGAATTTCTGAAAGCATTAGTTATGATAGCCTGAAAAGTAATGATTACTGATTTGAGGAAGCCACATTACATACAACAAACTGAACTTCACTGTTCCACAGCAACATCAATTACACTCAAATGACACCCCATTTTCTAAAAAATAAGGACATTACGGGCAAATAACTTTTATGATACCAATCACCTGTATGACTTTATGCATCTCATATGCAGAAGACAGAAAAATATTGTCTTTTCTTCATCTGCTTTCTGAACTAAGTTTGTCCAATTAAGGAGAGAAATTCATGCCTGAGCAAAAATGAAGCACAATTCAATGTTGTATTAAAAGTTTCACTTACAATTCAAATTCTCATGTGACTTCTATAGGAAGATGCTACAGATCTAGAGCCCATCTCAGCAAACACCAGAGCAGTTCAGCTTTGAAGGGGAATTTGTTGGGGAAGAAAAATGTGTTATTCTGCCATGAAGGAACAGGGAACAGTCAGAGACTGATTTTTAGTTTAATCAGAGAACAGGCAAACATGGCATCAGGAGGCAACTATGCAAGAAGGAAGCCAAAGTACTTCATTCCTAACAAGAAACTCAGAAGCTGAACAGATTAGTCTGTATGGACTGTCTAGGCTAGGACATTAGTCAGCAGCAATAGTAGGATTTATCCTATTGAAAAGACAAGGATGCTAAATTTCACTTACCATGAGAGTCGGATCCCAACTTCTTAGAAGCCATCTAGAACCTGAAAAACATTTTAAAACATCTTGAACAACTTTGTATATGTAGAACAGGGTGAGTCTATGCAGTTCCAGTGTCTTATCTCTAGGTTATGGAACACATTGCAGACACCTGATGTGCCTGTTCCCAAGATAGATAAACAAACATGTTTTAGCCTTGAAACTAATTGAGCAGACAAATAACTTAGAACAGGGTCTGTCAATTGAAGCAGTAATATAAAGAAAAAAAGAAAGCCCCAACCAAAACAGCAAACAGCCAAGACACAACCAGGGTGAACAGGAAGACAGAGTTACAGATCACAGCACACAGAGGCCACTCTGTCTCAGCCTCATTAAGCACTCCCTGCCTCCCTTGGCATTAAGAATAGCTCTTCCTACTGGAAATACCACACTGATCCTCTTCAGTTTAATCCCTGCTGCTCTAAAAAAAGGATACTACTGTACTGGGTACACAGCCAGCTAGCCAGCATGGCACTCATCTAGACACACTGGGCAATGCATAAAACAGGTGTAAAATAAATGGTACCATGAGAAAGATATGTTGGATAAACACAAGAAATCTATGAAAACAGGCCCCATCAACTGCCCACAGCATTTAGCAGCAACTTTTAAAATATGGATGCGACTCCTATATGGCCAAGATGTAAACACAGAAGTGGCTAGCCAGCTTTTAACAGAGAGTAGGTCTGGCTCACCAAAAGAGATGTTCAAGATAGATTAGCTGTCAGCTACAATTCTGCTCCAGGATGCTTATAGTATACTCAATAACATGGGGGTTTTGCTAGATTAGAAGTACATTACAAGGTACTACAGCATAACTGCTAGAGTAATTGAATTTTTAAGTGCTCCTTGTAACATTATGTGTGACAGAGACTCAGAGATACCCTTTGTCTCTGAAGTTCTCCATCTCAGACTGAAATGCCCAACAGCTGTTCTTCAAAACCATTGAGACCTCTGGTACATCCCCACAGGCAGCAGAGCCTGTTACAACAACATGGGACAGATCTAATATTCATGCCCATTATTCCTCCTGTCAAGGGCTCTTTTGCTCACTGTTTCCATTGCAGATTCCAACTGCAAACATTACATATTAAAGGAAGGTGAGGATTAAACAGTTTACCTATTTCCTCCTTGCTGCTGCTGACAGGACTGGGGACAAGAAGAGCCAGTTTCAAGTGCTCTAGGACAGACCCCTTTTACAGTGCAAAGATCCCTTTCAACATTATGTTGAAATCAACAAGTGAACCATCCCCAGCTAAAGGGGAACCTACACAATAGCCAAAGCTGTAGAAGATCACTCACGTGCAACCATACTTTGTGAAACACAGTGGGCAGATGCTGGGCCATGGGGAAGTGAGTCACGCAGGGCAAGTCCAGGTGCATGCTGCACATAAAAACTGTGCATCATCCTGCCCAATGTCTGTCAGGTTCTTTTCAGAACTCACCAACCTCTCTCAGCAGTGCTATTATGTCTGAAACTATTCCACTAAGCCAGAAACTGGCACCTTGTTCTCAGAAACAAACAAAACATTAAGGCCTCAAAAACAGAAAGAAAAGAAGGTGAAACAGTTGCCAAGCCTGCCATCCAAGGAAGGATGTCAAGGGCAAAGCCACCAGACTACCCAGCAGAGCTGCATATCAACCACTGGAGCTGAACAAGCCTTACCGGTCCCAGTGCCCAGACTGCAGACAACAGCACATGAAATAGCTGCACTTTCAGACCCAGGTTTCACTGCCAGGCAAGTTGTTGTGTTGGTAGTTCCTCTGTGTGAGAGTAGCAATTAGGTCAAATACTGGATTTGTTTTTAGTAAAAAAGCCAGGTGACACATAATTCATACAGCCCTCACACCCTCAACCAGTCCCCTGTTTGTCACTGAAGACTGCGTGGCACTGTGCAAGCACTGCCCACTCTCCACTTAACCTGGACAAGACCTCCACACACTTCATTTAATTTCTCAAAGTTCTTTTTTCTAGTTACTACCTCAGACTAAAAAGGAATTCCTTTTTTTTTTAGAGGATTCCAAAAACTTCTGATTAGAGAAAGTAACCTCCTCACTTTGCCAACTTCAATTGATAAGGGTGTTTGCTCAAGGCAGCACCAGTTACTATCAGTTACTGCTCCAGGGACACAAATGGTAATGCATATAAATCCCAACAAGACAAAACTGCACATCCCACTTCCAAGAAAGCTGCAGATAGACTGCAGTAGCCTATGACGCCACAACTGCATCAAGTCTCAGTGCCACCCCACATAAGATATATTTACCTTGCTTTTGCTGACAATCTGATAGTAAAATCCTAATGCTGACCAGGTGTCTGCATTAACTTCAAGATGCAGTGAGAAAAATAATTCCTCTGCCATATGCAACAGCTTAATTAACCACAGAACTAGCCAAGGCACATCAGCAGCAAGCTAGTCATTAAATGGATCATTTCAAGAGCCAGTCACTTTAGATTCACAAAGCATTTGAGTTTATATCACACAGGTCTTGCTGATGCACTGTGAGTGTGCACTTATAAAGACAACATTACTTCAGAAGCCATTTGTCAGCAAACAAAACTGTTAAGCACTATGCACAGTAACACAAGAACAGGCTGCCAGCCACATTTCATCACCCTCTTCCCAAAGAAGGTTTAATTAAAATAATGTCTTATGACTAATCAGATTTGATAGGCTAGTCAGGGACCACTGTTATAAGCATATTGCTGTTGTTCTGTTGTCAAGATGGGAAAAATGTTTTTGTATCCAGTTAGGTGGTTACTCATTTGTTGTTATTATTCTAGGCATTATCTGAAAATTAATTACAATGTGCAGTAAACCACATTGGACTGCTTCCAAAGCTTTACTCCAAATCAGATGATGGACAAGTGCAGCTCTACCACTACTTGCTTTGGTCTCCAGTACAAGATGCTGAAGGGCAATGGTGGTAACATCACATGGTAGAATGGATTTTGGCCTGATACCTTACTGCACATTGTAAACTGACAGAGGACAAAAAAACTTATTCAACACCTTTCCTGCTCTAGGGGAAATAGTTAGTTCCATAGTACTAGAAGATGCTCTTACAGCCACTTACAAGCTCTCTTCTGTAAATGTAAACCTCACCAGCTTCACTCCCTCATTCTTGGTTCTGGACAAATGGAGAAGGTCAGGGCTGCAAGTACCTCAAAATTATAAAGAACTGAAGCAACCTGATGTGAACTCTTCTCTACCCATCTGTATAATTTTTTATGTAGTAACACTGAGGCAGCAGGTCAGGATTCATAAAACCAGACAGGCAGAGTAACACAGCATAGCAAGAGCCCAGGATGAGGGCAGAGGATCTCAGAGCAATCATGACAGAAGGGGAGGGGGAACAGGAAACAACCCACAACAACAAACAACTACACAAAGATTCAGAAACAGAACTGGCAAGGTAAAACTGATGACAGCAACAATAGGCACAGAGAGGTGACAAGCTGGAATGGCTTGAAGAGACAGAGGTGACCAAGCCAATTCACTGGGCACGTCATCACTTAAACCTGAATGGCATTTAGTTGTGCTGCCAGACAAGGAGTACACTGCAAGAAGGCAATGCCAAATAGAGAGTCTCATGAACAGAAGATAACAAAAAAGTTATTACAAAGAGCAACTCATGAAGAGCTTCTGGGAAGTTGGGGTGGTTTTTTGCCATTATTTCAATGTTTCTTCTACTTTCTCTTGAGTTTATATCTTCATTCTTTTTCTTCTGAAAGAGCTCTGACTAGACAAGTTGGAAGTATCCTCCCACTAATGATACCTGTAATTGCTTTATTCATGATAACTTAAACCAATTTAACTATTTGGCAATAAGAACTGGATTCTTGCTGCTATATTCCTGAGTTTGGGGTGCAAACAAACCATGTGTATTCTCTGAAGTAATTTCCATCTAAAATTCAGATAAACGAAAAATTAATAACTTATGGGTGAAAGAAAACTTGAGAATGCTTCAAGTTATCAACCATAATCAAATCAGCACATCTATGATTTTCAGAGAAAGAGACCTGATCTTACAATTTCCATTGCACCTGCTAATATACATTGTGTAGTCTACACACTACTAAGGATGCACCATTCAGCCAGAAAACTACAAAAACAAAAGGCTGAAAAAGTTAAAAAAACCCTTCCTGCCTATGTTACATTAATGAACTACTGATTTTAGAGTAAATAAAAAAATAAAAATTACTTTGTTTCAAGAGATTGATTTCTAATGATAACAGGTGTTCAAAATTTAGGCAGTGCTTTCAGTTTTTACTGTACCTACTTGTTTCAGTGCAAGGGCTATAACCAACATCAGGACTCTATACATAGCTTCAAACAGCAAAAATAGAAGTCAACGGTGCCTGTTGCTAAGACAAACAAAAGCTCTCATCAAAGCTTCCTATCTATGTAAGTGTTCAACCACTGCAATTCAGCTCAGATTTCTTATGACCCCTCTCAGCAAAAAGCTGCTCAGTTCACTACAGTACAAAACAGATTCCATGCTTTTACTGCAGTATCCAAATACATCACCCCAAAATCCGCAGCAATCACTTCTGCTTTGTACCTCTAAGAGTTCTGCAAACAAGAGCACACGGAGGTACTCCCCTCGCAATAACAGATAAGCCCTGGTAACAGCTCTCTGGATAAAACTTTACAATCATATGTGATGTAGTGCAACTGCATGCCCGCAACACTCCCCTGTGGCTCCTCCACCAAAAAAAAAAACCAAACAAATCAAGCAAAACAGTGAATAAAAAAACAAACCAAAAACTAAAGCAAAGAAACCCCAAGACCCCCAAACCAAAAACTCACAAAAAGAAAAAAGAAAAATCATCTCTTTCACCAGTCTTAACAGAAAAGTAACTTCTAAATTGATCTATAGTAATTCCTCTTAAGTGCCACCACAGCCCAGGAGATAAAGCAAATTAAATTTCTTGGTCAATTTTAAGATTGAGAAAAACAAACCAAACCCTCCTTGAAGGCAACACTCTTATAAAGTTGTTATCCAACTGTCAAGGGGCACCAGTTAAAACAAATCTAAAGATATCTTCATGTTATGGAATACAAATACAAGTGATCATCATGCTACATTTAACCATTCAAAGTAGGGCTCACACAGACAAGAGGGGGCTTGAGGGAGGAAAGTGTGAGGTATCCCTGCTGCATCACATGGATCAACAGCCCAAACAGCTGTGATGAGACACCTAAATCTGAAGAGCAGCCTACATCAAACATGCAGTTTGTTATTACTAGTGCAATGATTGAGGGGCAGAAGGACAGGAACAAATAAAATGGCACTTTCTAAAGCATTTCTCAAAGGCATGAGTAGGAAGGAAAGGAAGAAAACACCCTAAAGAACAGAACTGTGCAGATCACATTACTGATTATAAGCCAACACTAGTGATGGTCACAACATTCATTATGGAGTTTTTCATGGGATGTTCAATTGCATCTTCCTAGCAGTGATAAACATCAGCAGACGTTGATTCTTCAAATTGTGTCACTGCTTAACGTGACATAGTGGGTAATCAGGATCTCTCTACTGGCAGCTTCCACATGCTCTCAGAGAGGCATGGCATCTCTCTGCCATTCCATGTGGATTCATGGCACTGACATTAGACATCTGCAGTTCCAGTTACCTCATGTCATGTTCCACTTTCTTCATTAGACATTGGACTTGTTACAAGCATGTACCATTTAGCTGGTTAAGGATTTAAGGTTCTTAACTGGTAACAAACAGCTCCATTCCTCTTTTAAGATCCTGACTATGCGTTTGAAACATAAGGTAATTCACCATACACTTCACCCAGAAATCAGGGACAACCATACAATGTCTGTGAAAATGAAGCATACTAATATACCAATTTTTTAGTCACTTTGTTACTTACCGGCCATGCAGGTTTCCAACACAGTTGATACACCACATAAACCTCTAGAAACACAAGTTTCACAGGCAACAGCACAAGGAAACAGACAAGTACTTACAGGCAGCCCTGTGTGATCAAAGTAGATCAGGGCATGGTTTTCCTCTGGCCAGACACTGACAGGCCAAACAACAGTGTAGAAAATGCACCTATTATAAATGCATCTATCACATTTAACTTTGGCAACAAATGGGTAGTCTTTTTAAAATGGACTCGTTCCATAAAACTCAATCCTATCACAAGAGAAAACCATCTGCAACAAATATCAAAGGCTGGACTGATTTCCAGACTCCAGAAACTTGGGCATAGTGCAGGTTCTGTTCATCCAAGAGCAGATGTGGACTTCAGAGTGCAGTTTAGTGATTTTTACCCCAATTATTTAAAGATCATGTAAACAAAACAGCTGAGAGAAAAGAGATGTGTTTTCTTCTTTTATCTTCTTTACTTCAAGGTCAGCTTCACTAATCTAAAAACTGCAATATCACCAAAAAAAAAAAAAAAAAAAAAAAAAAAAAAAAAAAAAAAAAAAAAAAAAAAAAAAAAAAAAAAAAAAAAAAAAAAAAGTAAACTAGAAATACAGGACTAACTTTCCCTCCTTAAACACAAAAGAAGCAAGACAGAAATTCAAGAGATAAAAATATAAATGTGGCATGCAACTCCTACAGTCTAAGAAAAAAGTGAAAAAGATGACCCAGGACTCATACCAGCAAAAAGGGCTGCAATAATCTCAATGAAGTAATGAAACAAGTCCTAAATTTGATGAGCAGAGCAACTGTTTTTAACTGCTATTTTCCTATATCTAAAGTTTGGATAGCAAATACCCTGCCAGTTTTGAGAGTTTGAAACTGTCAGATGGTAAGCATCTGGTAACAATCAACAAATATAGCTACTCCAGCTTAATTACCATAAGATTTCATACTACTACCACAGAGTCAATTTTTTCTAAGAAATCTTAGTACTAGCCAGAACCATGAATTTGCATTAACTTTCCTCGTTAATCATAGCACTTTAGAAGAAAGCTAATATTTCAATACAACCCTTCTTGAGAGAGACTGCTGATTGCTAGTTTCAGTAACAAAATAGCCCACTTACTCTCTCTCTTCTTTTGTTAACAGCATGGAAGAGCAGTGGAATATCCTGTACATTTAGAATGTATGCCTGCAACCCAGAATATCATAAACTAATTAAAATGCTGCTCTATTTGTTGCAGTGGTACTTCAATATGTAACAAGCTGATTCTGAAGTATTTGAGTATTATAAATATTTCAGACTTGTCCCAGTTATGAATGAGAGCTAGACAGACACTCTCAAAATTCACAATAGAATAAAACAGCTTTTAATCCATTAATTACAACATACCATTTTAAATTCAAAAATAAGAGAATCTCTGCAGTTTCAAGCTTTTTGTTCTTAGAGACTTTAACTGAGGGCAGTAACAGGCAGCTGATCTGGTATTACTTAGAAATAAATTCAACTCTGTTCACCACACCAGGACCTTCCAGCCATACTCCAAACACCAACACAAAAACTCAAATTATTTTGGTATATAAAGTAATTTGTATTAATTAATTTTCAATATTTATTTATTAACCATAATATAATTAATTTCAGTATATAACAACAATTAAATGGCTATGTAAAAAAAATCTATCCAAAGAAAGCCATAAGGTTGTAATCTTTTCCCTGTAAAAGCTCAGAAAAGAAATTATAACATTTGTTGATAATTATGGTTTTGGTTATAAATTTGGTGAAATATTAACCCTTATAGAATTGATTTAACGAAGCAGACAGAAAAAAAAACCTATCAATAAATCAAGCTGGCCAAATTTTTTAAATGGAAAAATAAAATCTGCCAGCAGGTCAAACACCACTTGCAATTCCATGTATTGGATCTCAGCCAAAATATGCGCCTCTTACAATGTACAAGAATAATGAGAACAGTGTTATACTACTATAGATACATCAATTTTTCTTTTATACTTGGATCACATGTACTGCCCACTCTTACCACACATTTAACATTTTCCAGGCAAAATGCAGCCTGGTACTGATGGAAAAAATAACCTGTTATGTTAACTATTCCACCTCCAAACAACCCTGCCTGTCCTGCAGCAAGCAGGCTCAAACATTGATATTCAGCATGGAAACCACTGTTTCAGACCCTGATTGCACACTCAGCTGAAGCAGTTTCAGCACATCAGGCCAACAGCCTTTTCCCATTCCTGAAAGGATCTCTCTCATCATGTGGTTAAAACTGTTAACTATTCCTGCCATCTGATGGCCCTGCCTACTGACACATCTCACTTCCCTCAACTAAGAGCCACATTCTAAGAATATAAATTCCCTGCAAACTCACTTGATTCAATCATGGAACATTTTGGGTTGGAAGGGACATTCAAAGACCATCTAGTCCATACACTCTGTACAGGCAAAGCTATCTC